TATAACCTGGTTGGAGAAAAATTAAGATTTTCACATGTGAGAATTATTTGAAATTCAGATTTCAGTACCTACAAGTAGTTTATTGGAACACAGTGAGCACTCCTTACATAGCTGCTGCACTTTGCACCAAAGTGGCACAGTCATGATGGCACCAAGGCAGCATTACAGATGGCAGTGACAATGATGATCAAGTTCCTCACCACCTATGTGAAAAGACATCCTTAAAGATGCAATATAAATTCTCACTATAAATCAGCATTATCTGGTGAACATTTGCAATCAGTGTGACAGCAGGGATCACTAACTTTGAGCCCTAGTTAAGTGAAAAGTAATCTCATCCCAAAGGAGGTATCCCAAAAAAGAAATTACTTAATTATCATCTTAGTTTGAACTTGAAATTTTGTGGAGATTCATTTCCTCCTCTTCCTACACATAATATCTTCATTTTGGTCTCTTGACCCTCTATGGAAAAAGCTTACTGGTGCCTGCAATAAATAAGAAAATAAAGCATCCAGGATCAACTAATAGAGCTTGGGCAAAACTTGCAATGAACACAAATTAAGCTATGTTTTATTTATAAAATATTTTGTGTGTGTGGGCTAATTCAGAGTACTATTTACCTTTCACTGCAACAGGAGATTGATATGTGCTTGTGTTGTAAATGTGGATAAAGCTTTAGAGATTAGCCCAATTAGGGCACTGCTACATTTAGAAGTGTTAATGGGACAAAGTTCCCTGCCATTTGCCACCATCTGATGACCAGTGTTTTCACGATAAGGCTGAATTGTGCCTGCTGATCAGAGCGTCTGGTCACTCTTGTCCTCTAGGGGAGAGGCCAGTTATTAATAAGACCTAACAGAATCAGGCTGCTGGTCCAGCCTGCACCACTGACTGTCCTCACGTGTGGCAGGCAACACATGCCCCCACGGGCTGTGCACACAGTAAAGAGTTCCCATGCAAGCCAGACTTGACTCCTGCCCATGTGCCATCTGCCTTGCAGTGAGGCCCTATCACCCAGACTGACTACACTGGACCTTTGGACACTTTGGTCCCTACAGACGCCTCAGCACCTGATACATTTTTAGGTTACGATGTTGCTGCTCCAAGGGTCCTATGCATTTTAGGCAGGATAACTGCCTTGTGAGGTGTTAGCAGTATTGCTACCCAATAGATGCAGTAGCACCTTTCCCCTAGCTGTGAAAAACAAATGTCTGCAGACATGGCCAAGTATCCCTGGAGGCACAACTGCATTCCTGTCCCCCTTCCTGGTGGAGCACTAGTACCTTTGATTCCAGAACTGCTGCCTGAATCAAGCAGCGTTGCCATCAACAGCCTTACCTGCTGATGGGTTCGCCGTCGATCCTTGTGAGAGGTGAGCTGGCATCTGGCCCAACGGTCCTGCACTTTCCCCATGGGTATGCCGAGACGACAATGCCCTAATGCCCTGACTATGCTTCACCTGGCCCATTCTCACGATTGTGTTTTCACCCTCTGAGCAGACTTGAGGGATAAGGTAATCTCTCCCCTTTGGAAAAGAACAGGCTTGCTTCTGCTTCCTGCAAAGGTGGCAAATCCCTGTCTTCCTCTTCTGTAACACAACCACCGCTAGATGGGCCCTTTGCATCCCCTCTGTGGGATCTGGAGAGGCCTGGGAACTGACACACACATGAAGCTCTGTTGCTTTGCCTGTGAGAAACAAATCCCAGCAGTTTCATATCTTTTGCCAACATCCATAAAACTGTGGCAGGCTAACTTTTTAGCTTACAGATTGAATAGAATGTCAAGCAGCACACATTTCTGACACTTCCTTCTCCCCAGTTACTTGAAACAAATTCCAGACATCAAATATTTCACCATGTATCTTAAAATGCTTCCTTAAGAAGAAAACACATCCACTATCTTACTAATCCATCTCCAAATTTCAATAATAATTCTTTAATGTTATAAATTACCCAGTCACACCAATCTGATGGGTGGTCAATTCTGTTGGACACAACACTGTGATAGGGAATGCTAGTGTTAAAGTTATGAAAGGCAGCGAACTTTCATGTCTAAGATCATTCATGAAATTAAGATCAAGAAATTACTGCAGGTATTATGAGTTTTTAGAAGTCTCTTTGCACTTCTGTAAGGTTTCTGTGAAAAACTCATGTAGTGTCTGAAATTGCCACTATCAGTAGATTGGTAAAACCAAATGCTGATAAGGATGTGGAGTAACAGGAGTGCTCAAATATTGCTAGTTGAGTATAACTTGGTAAAACAACTTTTGGAAAAGAGGCAGTTTTTAAAAATAAAATTAAACATAGTTATTTTACTCCTAGGTATTTAAACAGGAGAAATGAAATTCTATATGCACAAAAAGACTTGTTCAACGATGTTTACACCCGTCAGTTAGATCTCATTAAAGCTGGGGGAATAAAGAATGTTCACATCAACTTTATTCTTAATAGCTAAAACGGGGGGGGGGAGGGAGAGTAAATAAAAAACTAGGGTATATTTATAAGAATGAAAAATTGCGTAATATAAGGGAATGAACTATTAACACACACAGTAACATGGATACATATCAAAAATAGGGTGTTGAGCCAAAGAATCCAGAAGCGTAAATTCTATGTTATTTCATTTTTCCGAAGTTCCAGAACAGGAAAAATCAATCTTGCAGGACAGAAGTCAGAACAGTGATTGTCGCTGCAGGCGCAAGGCTGAGGTGGAAAGCAGGGAGAGTGGCGATTGCCTGGAAAGGCCGTAAGTATGAGGAACCTTCTAGGGTGATGGAAATGTTCTGTATTATCCACTGATGATGATACAAGTGTATGCAACTGTCAAAACTTACAGGAGTATAGATTTGCCATTTATGCATTTCATGCAAATACTCCTCCAACTTTTTAAAATATGAGTTCGGCCAGTTAGGCCATGAACGTGCTTATTTTAGTGCTGGTCCCACTCTGGGGTATGCTTTCAATCAGCTCAGCCTTCAAATCCATTTAGGTCTGGAAACAAACCTAGATATACTTCTTTCCCCTCCTGTTCTGGGTTTCTCAGCAGCCCAAATGTGTAGTGCTTTGGATACGTGTATGTGTTCAGCAGCCCTATTCAAGAGCATAATCCTGATTCTCATCTTCCCTGAGGTACTCAGTTTCTATGGTCTCATCAAATTACCCTCCTGCTTTTTTATAAAGTGGTCCTTCCCTGTGTGCATCAGTAGAATATGATACAGAAGTGTCCAACACCATTTAGAGGGACAGTCTGATACACCTGCACTGGAGCAACTGTCCGGTCAAGTGGCCTTAGAGAGGCAGTGTCTTAGTGTGCTATTACGTTGTTCTTCAATGGTGCCCCAATTCTCACTGCAGTGGATACCTAGACCTTCGCATATCCCAAGCAGGTTCTCCTGACCAGCAAAGATGCTGGCCTCTGCCTGCTCCCCCACATTCACCTTCCTCAAGAACTGTTCTGTATAAATGAATGGATATTCTTTTCTAACAACACTACATGTTGATTTTTTAATAGCTTTGACATTTCATATGTCTAAAGAGAAGATGCCACTGTCTCTGCTGGTATCAAGAGCACAGTCCTACAGACAAAACTTTTTGAGATCTGATGCTCCCAACATTTATATGTTCCTATTAAACACAAAAATACATCAATTCATGTATTGAGTTTCTAGGTAACATTAGTACAAGTTATCTACATAAAACTGAGAAGCTGAGCAGGGATTTCCTTTTCTTCTTGAAAGAAATAAACACAATTCTTTAATTTGCTCTCTGCAACTCTAAACATAAATATATCTGAGTGGACACAATTTTTACAGGGTAATAAAACATCAATTCTACTTGTTAAACTACTAAAGAAAAATGTATCACTTTAGTACAACAAATTTAAAAAGAACTGGATTGGGAATCAATAGAACTAGGTTTGCTTTAGGCTCTGCCATACCTGTATGACCTTGGGCAAATCATTTAACCTCTGCAGGTTGAGTTCTGGTCTGCGGACTCTCTTCTGTGCTTTAACAGGATGAGCATGCAATTAGGAGAGAGGCCCCTAGATGGTGCTGTTGTTCTGAGTTAGGCATTGTATTTTTGGTCCCTCTATAATTACAGTGAAGTAGAAAGGTATAGGTTAGAAAATGATTCCCTACTACTTCTGAAAATATTCACTGTTAAAAAGAGTTCATTCAATGGCATTCAAAGTGGGATTTAATTATGAATCATATGGCCCATGTGCATTTGACATTAATTAGAAGGAACAGACTATTATGATTATACCAAAGCGAACACATCTCCTTATAATTAGCCCATATATCCATCACTGTTTCCTCTAGATAGGTTTATCTAAATTGAAGAAAATGAACAAAACTAAATAGTGACTGTTAAGAGTAATGATATATAACAAAATGATTTTTTTCCCACATGCTAGTTCTAACAGATTTTGATTTTTTTATAAGATTACCATTACTATTATTCATTATAAATGTTTCAGACTACCTTCAAGCCCTGTTATTTACATGAGCATAATGAGATTATTGCATCAATCTTCTAGTCATATAAACAGGGGTACCTTTTTAAGAAGTCTGCTGTTTTTAGTGTCGAAAAGGATATGACTAATGTATTAAATGACTTCTGTAGTTTTAACCCAACAAAGAAAAAGGACTCACAGTCTAATTTGAGGAGGTTTAGAGTAGCAATTTCAGAATTTCACCTGACTTCTGGTTAGTTGAGTGGGAAATAAAAGGCAAGTCAAACATCTAGTGCGGTGAAGTGAAATGACATAAAATAACGAAATAATGAATTCTGTTTCAATAAAGATTTTTGTCTACAAATTAAAGAAGCGAGATATTGATCTTGGTGAATCTAAGATAGTATTGCTACATGTGAGTTATCCATCCATCCATCCATCTGTCCATCCGTCCATCCACCCACCCACCCATACACTCAAGCAAGCAACGTGTGCATGTTGCAAAAGACTAGAGATGTAAGATAGCATCTCTATTCTCAAAAAAACCCAGTCTGGTAAAAGGATTGAAAAGTTCAGTTCAATTTATTATAGCGTCAAGTAGATTTACAACTATTGCACTTATCATTCTGCTGACAGGTCAAATTTTAAGAGGGATATTTTTCTCCAATAAAGCTAAGTATCCACAATCTTTAATATGTTAAAATTACACAGACAAAAAAGTACACCTCACGTCCTACTCCAGACAGCTTGCCTACATCTCTGCCCCCGCTTTGTATGGCTCTCTGCAACTGGGAATTTAGTTGAGAAAACGTTTCAAATCATCCATTTTTCATGAAATCACTCGAGTAGTATTTGACAAGAATTTTCTTTATATTGTCTTCTTTACTCAAAACATGTGGAAGAAACAGTTTCTGTCCTCCAAAATGAAGTGTAACCATGTGACTGGGAGATGAGCGTTATCAAAGGCGAAGTAAAACTGCATTCCTCATGGTGCTCACCTCATGGCTTTGACCTCTGGCTGCCTAAAACTTTTTGGACAATGAGAAACAGTAACAAAAGCATCTGAAACTCTTCTCAAAAACAGAAGAAGTTGTGAGCATTGCTGGGAAAGTGGTTTACATTTCCAGTGAAATTCTGTTTCATTGATCTGTTTGGAAGATTGTCTTCAACCTATTTGGGCTGTTGCCCACGAAGTGTAATTGATTGAGTCACATCAAGAACCACTTTTTGTCTCAAGCCTGGAATGCTTAACGGGAGAAAGTAGGAAAGTGGATTTTTATTTACTCTAATAATTATGTAGGGATGGGTTGAGCTAAGAGGAAAAACCTAAAAAAAGTAACAGCCTTCAGTCTTCTTAAATTATCTTTTCACTCTGCTTATACTGGGAAGAGATGGGCCGCAGGGGGTTGGCACAGTTTTCTACCTTGACAGTTGCTCCGTTTTTTGAGATACATGTAATTCCTAATGTACCACTACTACAAGAAACAGCTTTTATATATTACTGGGGTAATGCAAAGAAAATGAATTTCTTTGGGTACCAGTAATTGTCAAAAGAATGATTGCATATTCAGAAAATGTACTTTATAAAAACCCTGTTAACATAAAGTATACATGGGGGAAAAATAAGTACAGCAGGCATGTGGAAGGGTTAGTTGTATTAGCAAGACATTTCAGGATGATTTTGGTTCTTCTGACTAAGACACATCAAATACTTGGACAAAGGAAACACTAACACAGGGAGCGTTTGGCCTGATTCACCACGTGCCTAGAGAGGTTCCACCTGGGCCACGCACTACCCCTCCCGAAGCAAGTCTTTGCCCTGGTAACAAGGATAATGCGCTCAAGCTGTTAAAATTAATCTGAGTATCAAAAATGAAATTTAGATTACCAAATGATGTCTTGATAGTTTCAGCAGGTAGACTATCAAACGTCCTCTTTTTAAACGAAAGCAGAAACTGAAGAAGCATGGTTATTTGTGCTGATGAAAACAGATGTGCAGTGCCACTTCAGCTCGTAAGCTTCCCTCAGCTCCTGCGTCCCTGGGGAGGGTGCACCTGCCCTCCAGGCCCTTGTAGCGTTTCCCTTGAACACTGACTCGTGGGCTTCCCTGGTCATGTTTCCACTGTGAGTGAAAGCTAACTGCAAAACCTAGATGCTGTCTGCTTTCAGGAAATTCTGTGTACCACGTATAGCATAGGCATGTCTATCAGTTTAAAAAAATAGTGCAAAAACAAATCTGATAGTCAAAGTGAAAGTTCAAGTGAGTTCTTGTGCCAAGGAACACAGTCAAGCTTCACCTTTAGTTGACTTGTAAAAACTGAACATAATTTTTGGGAAATATTCCCGACTTTCCCATTAGTTCTCCGCTCAGCCAGTCATTATCTACAGATTCCAGCTCTGTTATTACATCTCCAACCTGTGAGAAAGGGAATCGGAAATAATCATTCATTAGTGGTAAATACAAGCATGGTGAGCAGCAAAGCCGAAGAGGCGGGTGTCATCTTTGTTTTATATAATTCCTTTATCTTGATTTGCTTAGAGGGACAATCTATACCTGATGATGCCATTTGCTCGTGTGCCTCTTTTTCACAGAGTCCATTCCTTTACCATTGTCAGCCTTGCTGTAATTTATTTTCTGCTTATACTGTGTCTCCAAAATTCACCATTCCTAATTTAAAATTCGTCTTGAATAGATAACAATACCATCCACCATATAATATATATATATACTCATACATATACATATTTTTTTCATCTAAAAATTATTTGTTGAATGCCCTCTGTGTCCAACACTGTTCTGGGCACTACGGGTACAGCAACGAGTGAGATCTCATTCTAGAGTGGGAAGTCAACTACATAAGCAGCAGAGGAGGACAGAAAGTGAAAGGATTGGGTTGCTAACTCATAAGGGCAGTTAGGGAAGGCCTCACTGAAGGGGACATTTAAGCAAAGACTTGGAGGGGAAAGAGTCACATGCTTACTGGATGCCTTGTTGTATTCTGTATACTTTATAGGAACTAATGCTTTTAAACAACCACAGCCCTAGAGGGAAGTATTATTAATATCCATTTTAGAGACAGACTTTTTAATAGATTTCTTTAGGAAACTAAAGCTCAGAGAGATTAAGTGACTTGTGCACTGTTGCATGTCTCTTAATGACAGAGGATTCAAATCAAGGACGATTCAGGACCTATGGTGCTAACCACTAGGCTTTGTGGATCTTTTGTATTCTACAGTCATTCTTCCACAAAATAGTTTTCTCTTCCACCATTTGTTTTATTCCACTATTCCATGGCCTCAATGTAAAAGTTGTATTCCTTCTGTACTGAGGAGCTTCACCTGATTCAGAGCACTGACTTAGCCACATCAGGTTAGTTGAAGGACCGCGCATCACTTATGTGTGAATTATAATTTCTTCAACAGGTAGACATAATTTCTGAAATTATATCCAAAGAGTATTTTGATCTTCATGGTTTTGTAATCATTTCCTAGAATTTAATTTCTACAATGGTCCAAAATGACCTTGGCTACTTTTAAAATATCTTCATCAGCCAAATGAATGTATTTGTAGCCCTAATACACTGCCTTCTGGGGAAAAAAAAAAAAAAGATTTGATTTAAGACTGTTTTTTATGGAAAATGGAAATAAAAAGGCTGTTTATCAGCATTAATGTCATTAATTTACTTTACTCTGCCAAAATCTCTAAAAATTCTAGCTACTCAAAATTTCTATTATAAATAAGTTTCCTCTGGTTTCTATTTTTTTTAAAAAAAGATTTATTTATTATTTATTTATACAAGAACCGGCATACAAGCCAGATGTGCGGGAGGGTGAGAGAATTCACCAGATACAAAGTGGGAAATAGAACAGTCAGACTGACGAAATAACACTGCTGAGAGGAGCAGCAGGTGAGACAAGAGAGGTCTGCGTGCCATGTGGGACCCTCGCCGGCCGCCGGGATAGAACCTGCGCTGCAGAGGCTGCGGACAGCTTCAGAGCATAGCGCTCAACCGCCTGTACCACCAGGGGAGGCCTCCTCTAGTTTCTAAATTATAATATGCTGGTTTAGTAAAACTATTTTCTGAGCTCTGGCTCATCTGTACATGTCAGTTTTCTGAAATAAAAAATGTATTTACTATTATTCTGTGAATATTTAATAAAATATTCATTATCAACACTACTGAAAGGACAGAACTTATTAACTAGAAAACTCTAGAAACATTTTTATAGCCAGTTATTTATAAAATGGAACCAACCTATTTTTGGAGGCTAATGTGAATTCTGTTATTTCTATTGACCTAACTTAAATAAAGGCAAATATAACATCTTAAACGTTTGAGTCCAGAGTTTTCACTTGCAGTAACATTTTATGTCAAGATAAAAATGAATTTTGAGATGCTAAACTCTCAAGACTGAAAAGTACTAGGGCAATAGTTTCTAAACATTCAGATTTTAGGGATCAAGCACATTTATTTTTATCTTTTCAAAAACCATTATTTAAATAAAAACTTGATAGGAGTGATGTGGTAACATGTATCTGAGGAGGTGTGAACCTATTCCTCTAGGTCATATACAGTGTTGGAAACCAATGTTACCTCAATAACGAGAACAAAAAAGTAATAAAAAATTTAAAAACCCTGACAGAGATGATCAAATTATAATTTTGCATAAAATTTACTAGTATTTTGTCAGAGAAATGATATTTTTGTTTGAAAAAGGTAGAAGAAATTCTCAGAAGGCAAACTGGATCACAGAATAGGAAAGTCAGCAACCTTATTCTGATACATCGCCATGAATTTCCACAAGCCTGCACATACAAATGACCTTGTTTTCTTCATTTTGCTCTAGACAGGTGAAAACTTTGTTTGGGCAGTCTCATCTTGCTGCCTGTCTTGCAACTATTTTAGTCTCATCTTGCCCACTCATGCCCACTCAGGTGCTTCTTCAGTCCCTTCTGTGGCCTCCCTCCTCCTGACTGAACCTTTCCACAATGGAGAGTTCACCTCTGTCTGACACAGGCTCTTCTGACAGCAGTGGCTGAGAAACCACCCTCCTTCCTCTGGCCAAGTGCTACCCTGAGGGATTTCTTCTGCCCATGATCCAACTATGGCCTGGGCAGACAGGGTCATGGACATACTCTGTTTTTACGTGAAAAATAAATCTAAGAGGTACTTCTCAATGAAGTAATATGATTAACATTAAATTGTAGGAGTCTAAAAATTCCTTTTCAAAGCAGTTTAATCTTTAGGAGCCATTTCTGGAAGATCTTGTCTTGTTGTTAGGGACAAGAGTCCAGGGTCACGAGTGCTGCAGTGGCAATGTGTCCCCGAGGTAGGGACCTTTTGATTTCTCCACTCATGTAAAGACATGATACTTGTGGGCTGCCAGCATCATGTGGAGAGTCATCCCTTACTAGGTCCACAAATGAAACCACACTATTGCTGAGATCTGATGCTAAAAGGCCCAGGGATAAAGAATTAGTTCGGGAATTGTGGGGCTATCAAGCCAATAAGGTTTAAGGACCTAAATACCTTATAAGTTACACTTGCCTTATTCACTTTCTTGCCTTCTTTTGGGATTATGGCCTAAGATCTGTTCATTCTTAGCTAATGATCTACATCCCACCCAAATGTTCTACCTTCCAAAGAAAGACATTTCAAACTTTACAGCTGCTTATTGCAGTTACAAAAAGTTGTACATTCTGACCTTGAAGGAAAGCTCATCTTCATTCTCTCCATGGAAATCATATAGGGCTTTCGCTTTCCTCCCCTTCAGTGATAAAGCAGGCATACTTTTTGCCTCAGCTGTGAAGACAACAAAAATTCAAATATGTCAGAAAAACATTGGACCAAACAAAAATCAAACATTGTAAGAAATCCCCTTGTCATTCCCAGAAGAAAATATTTTTCAATTATTTAACTTGCAAAATGATGCAGGATAGTATCCTAGCAGGGAAAAACAAAACAAAACAAAACAAAAAAAACACTAAAAAATATATTTAGTAGACAAAATTAGCCATTGTTAAGTGATAGCATTTTAATCTTTTCCCCTCCCATAACTCCAACAAAATACATGAAGGGAGTTTGCACAACTGCATTAACCAACTCTTTCAGATGCAGGCAGTGACTTAAAGTGGCTTGGCGAGAGGGAAAAGGAATAATCAGCAAGTCCTCACGCAACACTGCTAGGTTCTCGGAAACCGCAACTTTAAGTGAAATGATATACATTGAAAAATCAATTTGACCATAAACAAAATTTCTTATGGCCTATTTTTGTCACAAAAACATCACCCAGGGCCCCTCTGGTGGCATTGCTCATTGCTATCAAGCTATCGCCAGCCACTGCCTCATGAGTTTGATCCCTGGCCAGGGAGCTAACTCACATGGCGCAGCAGACCTCTCCTGTCTCGCCTGCTGCTCCTCTCAGCAGTGTATTTCAGTAGATCCGGCTGTTCTGCTCCCCACTGTGTCTCTGGTGAATCCTTTCACCCCCCACCCTGTACCTCTGGCCTACACCCCAGTTCTTGTATGCATAAATAAAAAGAAATCTTTAAAATAAAATCACCCAACTTCTAAATAAAGACCCAAAACTTCCAGTAATCAACAATTGTTCATTCATTAGTTCATTCATTCATCCTCCATCCCATTTATTCCAGTTCAAGTTCTTTTTTTTTTAAAGATTTATTTATTTTTGCATACAAGAACTGGGGTACAGGCCAGAGGTGTGGGGCAGGGGTGAGAGGATTCACCAGAGACAGAGCGGGGAGCAGAACAGGCAGACGGACCGAAGACACTGCTGAGGGAGCAGCGGGTGAGTTAGGAGAGGTCTGCTGCGCTATGTGGGTAGCTCCCTGGCTGGGGATTGAGCTGCAGCGGCTGCAGATTGCTTCACAGGTTGCATCTTAACCCCTTGTGCCACCAGGGAGGCCCTCCAGTTCAAGTTTTGGTACTCAGAGCCCATCTCAACAACACAGGATGGAAGGTGGGACCCCACCCTTCTATCTCAGGGCACATCACACACACACACTCCTACTGGGACAGCTCAGACGCGCCAATGAGACCTCATGGGCACTGCTTTGGGATGTGGGTGGAACCTGGAGCACCTGCAGAAAACCCACACAGACAGTGCAAACTCCACACAGACAGTGGTCCCCGTTGGAACTGATGCTTTTTCTCATCAGATTAGAATGAAACAAAGGTTTTGAGGGCCTGTTATATATCAAAGGTGTGGGGATCCCTTTGGAAAGGAGTCGTCATGTCGTGTAGCTGACATACCTGGGCAGAGTCGCACAAACACTGCTGGGAAGATGCCCTCCCTGTCGCGCAGTCTGCCCTTGTACCAGTCGCTGTCCAGTCGCTCAAGGATGAGGATCCGGTCCCCTCTCTTGAAAGATAAGTCGTCACTGGTCTCTGCCGTAAAACTGTGAAGAGCTTCACACCATTCTCCAGACAGACAGTTAGCCTGCCACAAATCAGAAGTTTGGTAAGAAATATGAGATTTTATTTGAAATTCATTCTATAAAGCTACAAGTGGTAGGAAGAGAGCTGAGGGGTCGTAACATTTCAAGGCCTGAAGCTTCTTTAAATTACCTAACACTTTGTTGCTATCAAGTTTCAGAAATAAAAGTTCCCAATGCCTTTTTCCTTAACATATAATTTTAAATGACAGTTGGGATCAAATTTATGGCTTTTCTGCTTTTAAAGGATAACAATGTTTAACCAAAATCTTTTTTTTCTAGTTATGATCTGTAAGAGTCCTATGTTGAAGAGGCTCAAAAGGAAGGAGAGGATAATGATAATTTGAAGAGCCAAGACTTGGAGACACATAGGCCTGGATTCTAGATACAGCTCTGCCACTTCCAAGCTGGGTGACAATGGGCAACACCTCTTCTCTGGGTTTCAGCTTCATTAGGGCAGCTATGAGGATTAAATGACATAATGCTTGCGGAACGCCAGTGCCTACCCCATCTTAAGTTGTCAACAATTGGTGGCTTATAAATCAAAACCAAAACACCAGGCAAACAAAAATCCCTAATCTTGGTCCTTTATTACTAAATATTTTCTAATTTTTTTATCCTTTTCTTAAGGTGATAAATGATGATCTCTACACTTTCTCTTTTAAAACACAAATAAACTTACAATTAACTTGCTTATTGTTGAGTTGTTGTACCGAATCTTTGTTAACTGGACAGGAGTCTGGAAGCAGATATTGGTGTTGTAATGCTGCTTTTACAAGCCGTTTCTTTGACTACTAGCAAGGCTATATATTTTTTAGTCTCAGTAGTCTATACTACTGTCACTTTTATTATCTAGTCACATGTGTCTTTCCTCATTTTCTATCAGGGTTTGCCTGTCTTTCCACTTATATGAGCTCTATATACTAAAAAGATATTAGCCACCTAACTATTTATTTTTAACATCTGCTATATAAATTGAAAAATGATTTCCTAAAATTTCTCTTGATAGCCGTGATTTTAATATTCTTTCCAGAATTAAAACTTGGCTTTCACTGCAGTTTTTTTATGAAAGCAGCCTACCTGAGAATTTGTGCCAGAATCTTCTTTTTTGGTCTTCAGGGCTACCTTTGTGCCTACATTAGGGGGAAAAAAGTCAAAACTTTAGATATAAAAACCACATAAAACTGGAGAAAAATCACAGAAGGAGAGCGAAAAAAGTGTGAGATTCTAGACTAGTCTTCTCAAATACTAGTAGCTATGTAACTTTGAGCACAACCCTCTCTGGCCTTGTTCCCTCTATTGTAAAGAAGGATAGACATTAGTTATAGTCTCTTTAGTCTCCCTTTCTACTTAAAAGTCTGATGTTTTGTCTGCCATTTCTGATAATGAAGCGATTGCTAATTGCCCATAATACCAAAACCAGTTCTTTGAGAAATTATAATAATAACTACCTCACGAAGATTACCATTTTAAAGTCATCTTTCTTTCTATCTTAGCATTGACAATGTGGATTACTACGTAGCTTAAATATTATCCTAGTATTCTATTTATTTGAATTAGGACAGGACATAATAAAAAACCACACTCCCTATACTCACTTAAAACATTTGTGACAGAGGTGGGTTGATCCTCAACAAGTTCCACAAAGTTAAGGGGGAAAATCCCAGTTCTGTCTCGAAGTTCTCCTCTGGCCCATTCTTCATTCACATACTCCTTAAGAATAATAATTTCACCCTCTGAGAAACTTAACTCATCTTTCTGGTCTCCAATGTATTCAAATCGAGCAATACATCTTGAACCTCTGAACAAAGAAGGTCACATTTGTGGGTTAAACTGGACAGTACCAACTTTCAAAATGCTTTAAAACCTTCATTCAATCTTTTGATAAAGATTTATACTGTGTTTACTATGGACATACTAGACATAATTCAAAATTTTACATGAAAAAGAGTAAACTACATTTCTAGATGGTCCTTAATTTTCAGACATGAACCTATTCATTCAAAAAAAAAATAAAGTTCCTTAACCTGCAAAAGATGGAGCTTCCATGTGATCCAGCAATTCCACTCCTAGGTATTTACCCAAAGGACAGAGAATCATTTAATTCAAAAGGGCACCTGTACCCCTATTTTTTCAAGCAGCACTATTTACAATAGTTAAGCTATGGAAACAACCCAAATGCCCCAAATAGATGACTGGATCAAGAAGATGTGGTACATATACACCATGGAATATTACTCAGCAATCAAAAAAAAAAAGATAAACTCATGCAATTTGCAGCAACATGGATGGAGCTAGAAGGGATCATGCTCAGTGAAATAAGCCAGAAAGAAAAAGAAAAATACCGGACGGTCTCACTCATAGCAGGAATTTAGAAAACCTAAATAAGGGACCAGGAAAAAGGCTAATTATAATAAAGTAAAAATCAAAATCAACAAGCAACTATAAACCAGAGACATTTACGGGGGGTGGGGGAAGAGGGATTAGAGTCAAAATAAGGGGGTAGGGTGGGAATTGCACAGGGACTATAACCAAGATGAAAATGCATACATTGTGCGAAAATGAAAAATGATGTAAAAAATACATAAAAGAAAATAAGAAAAGGAATAAAGTCCAGGTCACAGAGTACATGCAGAATTCCCAGTGAGTATACATGCTTTTGACAAGCCTTTGCTGCATTACAGAATCTCCCCATTCTCCATGCAGTCTCTAAGGTCTTTGTATCATTAAGCCATGTAACCGCTGCTGAGTCTCAACCCTCAGACCCATGCACTGAGTCATCAGTGCACTGAGTTTAGGCATGCTAACACTGAGATTTCAGGGCAAGACATCATATTCTATGGCAGAACACAAGGGCATCCGCTGGGCAGAGTCAATGTTCAATATAAATGTTGGGTCAATCAATAAATTTTATAAGTAAGGGAAAGGCCTTCAAAATTGACACATTTCAAGAAAACAAAAAATTGGCCTATCATCTTACAAGAAGCAATTTTATAACTACCACTGTTGTTTTAAAAATGATTTTTGTATCTCCCTTAAAAGGACTTCACTTATGAGTGTTAGAACAGTCCTTAAATGATCTGCAATTTTTACTGAAAATAAGATAAAAGCAGAGATAAAACTGTGTCTTTAGAAGTCATGATTTAATACCAAACCTTTGATTTGAGGTCTTAGAAAGGAAGTTTCAATACCAAGAGGCTAAGAAGAAGCAATTATTTGAAGAGAAAAGGTTGGTCCTGGTTCCCAACAAATTCTGATTGAACTCAGCTGAATGGACCAACAGCTATGAAAGCCCACTTTAAATTCAAGCTGCTGAACAGTAAACACTCCTTAAACACAGGAGAAAACTTGAACCTGAAACAGAATTCAACTATTGTGGCATCAGAAGTTTTCTTATTTGTGAATAACCTTTCCATTTATTTTCTAATGTCCTCGGGGAGCATCATCTCCTTATGTCTGACCTATTCAAAGACAGGTTTACAGTCTTGAGCAGGTAGTGAATTCTATTAATTTGCTCATTTAACTAGAATATAAAGTTGCATTGTGGCAGTGTTTTAAATCACAAAGGAGTTACAATGATCCATAAAAGTGTATATAAATTCTTGGAAAGGTCTTTAGAAATAAAGGAAGGTCTCCCTGACTTAATTCTTCCTTATTTTCTTCTAGATCCTCTTGAGAAAGAAAACAATATATATAGCAGTTTTTATAGGATCCATTTTTCTATAAGATTTAACTATTTTCGACCTTTTCAAAATGCACTGGTAGGTAAACAGCAGAAGCCCCATGCCAGACCATGGTCCCAGTTATGCTCAAGCTGAGGCCGGATGGCAGGAGGAAGACAGACTGAGTTGCGTCCGCACGTCCTGTGATATGGAGAGCTGGCGTGCAGCTTCTGTCAGTGTGTCACGTTCTCATCAGAATTTTAGTCTACTTGGTTTTATAAGCAAGTAAAATTTCCCTCATAATTAAAGAGATAAGCTGACAATCTGAATAATCACATAGCTAAATCGTTTATGCTTGGTAATTCTTTATAATAGAAACACTAGTTTCCTTTGTATTTTGTACAAAAGAACACAAGACTTACTTAATGCAATTGGATGACACTGATTCTCTTTTCCCATTTCCTCCTCCTGGAACATCAATCTAGTAAAGACAAAATCAAGGCAACAACTGTATTTTTTTTATTTTCCCAGAATTCAGTAAATAAACTTAAGGCTAAGTCACTGGGAAATGCATGACTGAAATTAGCTAGAAGTAACACTGGCTAAGTGGTATCATAAGTGATAAAAATAAGTAATTCATGTGGGTCTTGGGGAAAAAAAAATGCGTGAAGTAGCTTTCCTGAACAGCCAATCAATCTTTCTCTCATTTGCTAGAATAAGCACATTACTATCATCCCACCTATGAGGGAATATTCTTTATCCCATGTTCTTTACATTGAAAGCTTCAGATGAGAGGGACTTTAGAGAAAAACCAGTCAGAAGGTGTTTGTGCCACTACCGCAACTACTCGAAGTGTTGGCAGAATACTGCAATACTTGCCTGACCCCAAAATAAAACATTTTAATCAAATGTGTGGATTCTCTCCATTGTCCTAACTCTGGGACACTTCTTTTCCTTCCTCAATGTGAAAAAGGGAAGGTGAAAAGAATTGGCACCCAATGGGCACCTTACTAAGTGGCAAGCACTTTATACATACAATACCTTCACAAGGCACAGTCAACTGGGTTGTAATAAAATATTTAACCAGAATGCACTAAGTCTGAAAACTACCTAAAGCTTTGAGGTTTACATTAAATAGATCAGCACCCTTCTTGATGAATTCTAAAAGTTTGAAATTTTCAAACAATTTTTAAACTTGTAGACACAGAAATAACACTTATAGCAATAATGTGGCAGAGTCAGTGTGACTGATTTCAGTGTGGTAATTGTGCTTTTTAAAGTACTGCTACATTAGGCAGAAGAAAAATGAGGAAGAGTGCTAAAACCAACATTATTCTTAATATTAATTTAGAGAATGTGGTTGGATTTCTCCAAAGAATCTGGGCATATATATACACTAGACAATTTTTAAGACCCATATTTTGTAATTCAAGAGACTCAAACTCATTTATATTCGAAAATACAGGTTTTCTGTTATATTAGTTTTCTACATTAAAGATGTAATAGAAATTTATTTGCTTTTTCCCTCCCAAATAAACTGTTATAATGTTCAACCATTTAAGCCAGCTTTATTGATAGTTCCAGTATCAATAATTTATATAAAAAATTGAGTCATGTTCACCCTATTGATATAAATGTGCATGTGGCAATCTGATTTTATCTCCATGTTTCATAACCACCTGGTGTAGCACTTAGGGCTCTCCCATATGGCTTTGCTTTCACAAGTTAGGCTGTGAGGATGTATAAAATTCTGAGGCTTTAATATTTTTCCCAATTTGAATGACAAGCTCCAATGAAAATACATTAGCATTCCCAAATCTTTTTTTTTTTAAAGTATGACAAGAATTGGGAATGGAAAGGATGAAAGTAACAAAAATTAAGATATGCTTCAAAGAAAAGGAGAAGCAGTACCATAGCCTCAGAGAATATTCTTCCAGAACAACCTAGCACCATTTAATTCTTGTTTACTAAGTGTTTCAAAGAATAAACATTATCCTTAAGTGCTTACCAGCCCTCCAAAAATAGCAGATTCACCAGCTGACCTGTAAAAACTTTTCACCTTAGGATTTCAGATAGAATTCCAATACCCCATAAAGATAATAGTAATCCATTATTTAGTTAAACCTCTATTTTTTGAGTTTTCCATACACCAGATAAATTAATAGGAGAACGAGAACTAGAATTTAAGAATCTTATCTTCCAGTTATTTTTTTCCCAATCTGCAAATAACACAGAACCCACTGAATATATGACCAATTTAAAGCAGCAGGACCCACTTACAATAACTTTGACGTAGTTGGCAGGAAACACACCTGTCTGGCTTCTACATTTCCCTCTATACCAATCTGTACCTATTTTTTCGAGAAGATAAACAATTTCTCCAGAAGCGAGGTTCAAATCATCAGCTTGTTCTGTAACATAAAATTATGTCTGATGAATTATCTTGGTTATAGACTTGATTAAAACAGAGCACAAAACAGCATTTAGTTCTGTCTACTGAGGCAATATATCCTACTGCCTCCGAGAACAGATCATACTTCTAAAATTGACTTTAAGAAATACTCTTTTTCTGGGATATTGCTGTTAAGAGCTTCCTCTTTTAAGACCATATCATGTAATCTAACTCACACTGACTGATAGGAAATGGTTAAACACAAAACACTGCACTGTGCTATGATTGCCACTGTGTCCAGGCAGACCCTTTGCTGAATTCATACTCATCTCTGGTAGCTTTCATAGACATAATAATGCTATTTGTATCATTCTCAATCGTGTTTAAAAATTTCAATCACAAAATATTAACTGAGGGAGTACAGCTCTTTGGCAAGTACATTTGAATGAAAATAAAATCAGTCTACCAAGTAGATTAAAAAGTGGTTATAAATAAATTAGGAGTCTTACGTGTAGCCTCAGATAGAAAAGGTATTTAACAATTGGTTACAAAAAATGTATATTTCATATTTTCATATCATAAGTAATACCTGAGGTATGTGTGTAGATTTTACAACTAAGAGAAAAGCAACCTCACTTATTAGAATTAATTTCATTATAAATACTAATTGGCGCCCAGATTTTTTAAATAGTTTAAAAGTTTGCAGCTGGTAGGCAATTTGTTATTTGCTCATTTGCAAGGGACACTCTCTCCTCTCTTTCTCACACAATATTTAAAAGGTAGGGGTAGGGCCTCCCCGGTGGTGCAGCGGTTGAGCGCTGGGTTGCGAAGCTGCCCGCGGCCTCTGCAGCGCCAGTTCGATCCCTGGCTGCTCCCCGGCCACCGGAGGAGGGTCCCACATGGCGCGCAGACCTCTCCTGCCGCCCGCTGCTCCCCTCAGCAGTGTACTTCGGTCCTTCTGCCTGCTCTGCTCCCCGCTCTGGCTCTGGTGAATTCTCTCACCCTCCCGCGCTTCTGACTGTACCCAATGCTTCTATAAATAAATAAAAAATAAATCTTTAAAAAAAAAAAAAAAAAGGTAGGGGTATGCAGCTATGCTCTTGGGAAAGGCGGGGGACAATCGAGCCTCTCTGTGGCCGGGTGATGGATAAGATGACCCCTTGAGTCCAGGGTTCTGCTGGTACAGAGGATAAGGAAGGATGTCCTTGAGAGCTTAGCCCAGGGAGGAGCACTGCTCTCGACCCCAGGGCTCGCCCACCTCATTATCTATGTCTTTACCTGCTGCGAAGTCATGAAGCACGACAGCGTGAGGAGTGCTCCTGTCAGCAGGCTTCTGAGCGTGGCTTGGCTCCTTAGGGGGAAAACAGGGCTGTGAGTGAAGTATGCAGGATAGATGTTGCCATTTATCACTTACTCTGAGATCAATTTTTTTTTTTCTCATTAGAGTCCTCCTGACACAATTACATTAAGAGTACAAGATGCAAACCACACAGGTTAGTCAAACAAGGGAATCCTTAAGTTGAGAAGGCACGTGTCCTTGCCAAGCAGGACAGCAATAATGTTCAGGCTTAGTGCCCTTGAAATAAGCTTAAACCAAGAGAATAAAATATTACTAAACTATTTTTCTTTAACCAGTACCCATTCTACCAGAAGTGGCTTTTTAACCTCTGCTTTTATCAAGGGTAGCTTTTTTGTTTAACTATGATGAGGACTAAACCTTAAAAACAGAGCCTTAGGGGGAAAAGATGGTAAAAGAAGAAAGTTCTTACCTTTCCTAATGAAAAGAGCTAACAACTTCCACAGAAGTATAATTCACAGAAAGGAAACTCCATTTCATGTATCACCACTTAACTGAATGCTTTCTCTAATTTGAAAGCCAACGATGCCTCCCATGCTTGGCCTTGATTTTTTATTTAATCTGAATGGAGAATTCAATATTCTCTACCCATTGAGCCAACTGTCTAGATTGGCTAGAAGACAGCAGCTAGAAAAGAATAACCTTTTCCTATTGACAAGCAGTTGCTATTTTTAGTTCATTACATGAAGATGCAGGCTTATCCACATCATCATGATCAGGAAATCTTAGAGAAGATTATTTGAAATTATAACCTAAGATTCTTCAACATTGGCCAACCTGTGAGATAAAGGCATGCTGATCTTGTGCCTCATCCTGTCTTTCCACCTCCTCCAATGACTCTTGTTCCCTTGGGAACAGCCGCCCACCACTGCTCTCGGGCCAGGATGCATGCCATGGGTTGCTTAGACTGCTCTGTGGATTCAGTTCACTTTCTCTGTTTCCATCTCACAGCACCTCTGTCTGATTCTTTTCTCAGTCTCACTTGCTTCAACCAAAGATTGTGCCTGTGGAGGCAAGCTGCATTCTCTTGTGTTAGGGAAACCAAAACTAATTTAGATCAAGAAGGCAATGGTTAATGGCTCCTTACTCAATTAGCTTACCAGAGTAACTCTGACATTTCCTTAGGGGCTGTTCAGTGTTGTTCTCTCAATAAATGAACATCAAGGGAATTTCGGGGCTTGCAGAAAGGAATTGTGCGATATTTAAGTCTGGAGGGCTTTCAAAAATCATTATTTATACAAAATATTGTATGTGTGTATGAGTGGTCATCCTTCATTTTCCTGATTTATATCCACTGAAAAAGAAATGATTACTCAATAAATGGTGTTAGGCTAGCTGCCTATCCACTGGGAAAAAATAGTCACCAGAGGCCTGTATCACACCAAACACAAACATGAATCTCCAAATGGACCAAAGATCTAATCATAAGACCAGGCTGGGGAAGGCAGAAGAGGTGGGATAGTCACATTTCCTCCTAATTAATGTCCCTACTCTGCCTTCAGTGCATGGCTATTCCTGGCAGTGTGGTCATCAACCTGTCCTGAACAAGCTAACAGAGTTGGCCATAGGGTCAGTTCAATTTACACCACACCACGACAGTGGATATGCGGTAGGTAAATCTAATATATTTCGAAGCGTTTTCTAATATGACAGTAATTGCTAATACAAATGAGTAATATGAATAGCAGTATTTCACTGTTCTCTTGCTATGCACTTCTCACTGTGTTAATCACCTTATAGATATGAATTAGCTCATTTAATTTTTAAAACATCTTTGAGATATAATTCATACCATAAAATTTACCCATTTAAAAGGTACATCATTTTAGTATATTCAGAGAATCGTGAAGCCATCACCACCACCTAAGTTTAGAATATTTGTATCACCTCCCAAAAGAAGCCCCCCACCCATTAGCAGTCATCCATCACTCACCCCACCTACCATGCCCCACCCTAGCAGCCACTAATCTACTTTCTGGATTACCTATTTTGGACTTTTATATAAACGGACTCATACAATATATAAATTCTAAAAACAACCCTGTCAGGGTTGTTTCACACATTTAATAAATGAAGTTTAGAGCATTTAAACAACTGCCTAAGGTAGCAGAAGGACCTCTCCCTGAAGCCCAAATCTGCATCCCCATGTTCTACTTATGTAGCAGTTTAATTTCAGCTGATAATGCTCAATATTTTCTGTCTAATAAGGAAAACAGAACATAGTTTTAGAAATTTGTAACTTAAAATTAGGCTTTCACACATTAACTTTTCTAGAAAACACAATGCTCCCCCTGAACACAGAAACCCATAAAGGAGGCTTCTACTTTAGAATTGCCAGTGGCTGGCCCCTGGCGGTCACCTCTCTGTGAGTCTATGATACAAGATTACTGCTTAACAGGTACCGTTTAAGGTGGAAACAATTTTGGACTGTTATAAAAAAATAACTTCTAATTTTTTAGCTTCTATTTTTCATCAAGGAAAGCTTTTCAGTAGCACAGCTCCTGCTGTTACCACCAGTATATTCTGAGTGAGGAAGGGCATTGGTGACAAATGGATAATGTCCTATCAAAGCAAAGAAAAAACAAGGACCAAACCCTTCCCTGTGTGAATTAAAGTTACAATTTTCAATATTTCAGCTACAACTAGTTTAATACACATCTTTCTCTCCAAAATATAAATTTTTAGTTTCTTAGCAAACGTCAAAAGATAAACTGCCATCTAAGAAGAAAGGATTGGACTAGATTATGAAAACTAGGACAAATGGTAAACCAAATACTTTTACTTGAGTTAAATGATTGGTGCGTATAATTTTTCATTAAATATTGGTGAAAATTTGAATGGATAACTTAAGAAACCTTTATAAAAATATACCTCTATAAATTGTTCAATGCCTTTTTTTTTTTTTTTTGGCTAAACAGATGACCTTCAATAATCAAAGCATTCTTCCAGGTGCCACAAATCTGTTAGACCTAAATTGCAAATTCAGATTGTTTCATTTCATTGCATGATTTTATGAGCTACAATCAGAGAAACGAGGTTTGCACTAAGCTTAAATCTTAAAAGTGTTGGGGTTTTTTTTAATGTAAGACTTAACATTTATAGGGCCCCCTGTAAAATAAATTACCCATTCTGCTAGAAAACCAATCTCTGGAACTTTGGTAAACATGTTTACATTATTTAAAAAATAATAATAAATAAACAGCTCTCACAGTTGAAAATTAACGGCTAAGTGCTCTGGTTGCTATAAGTCAGCATGGTGAGAAGGCAGAACACACAGTAGCCACTCTGTGTATCAATGTGATTAATATGGCAGCAGCAAGTCTCTTAGAAGTAATTTATACTGAAAAATGGAATAAAATGCTATTGCAGTTTTTACTCTGGTTAAAATAAACGTTCTAATAAAAATCTGCAGATGAGATATAATTAATAGTTCTATGAAATGTGCTGCCAAGTGTGATATGAGGACTGTGCAATATTAATTCCTTACGTTCGGTCTGCTTCTAAAATGTTCATCAAGTAGGATGATAATCTTAATCTGAGACAGGTGAACTCTGCCAGTGCCTTCTCCCTTTGGCATTCCAAGTAATTATTTTCTGCTTGCTTCAGTGTCACAAGTACATCTCCACATGGTTAGGTACAATACCACTCTCTGAAGCGATTATTATTTAATAAAACATTATTACTTTTTTCACATTTTAATCTTTGGAGCCTAAAGCATTTAATAATGTGTAAAGCAGTAACAGAGGCCAGCAATTTTTTACATTAATCAGTAAAGAAAGAGCTCTACTTTACCTTACAAGACTGTTCTCCGGGGTTTTGCGAGACAATGTCTTCACTGGCAATTCCACGAGGCACAGACAACTTAAAGGTAAACCAAAAAGGATTATTCTTAACCAAATAAACTTCACCGGCACTGCTGGTCACATGGGGGAATTGGGAATGTTTGCCTAAAGTGTAACTTCTCAAGAAGCAAGTTCTTTATCTGCCATCCTTAAGCTCTCGAGCTGGGCCTGCCATTCTCAAGGATAATGAAGGTCTAGGGGTGTGGAGTGAGGCCGCAGGACAAGAAGGCTGGGTATGGCCCAAGTTCCCTTTAACACCCACAACCAGGAAGTTCTCCTCTATAGGACGGGACCACGAAGACCCTGGGCATCTGAAAGGTAACTACTAAGAGCCTGAGCTCACAGCTCATCAAGGTGTGTCTTTGGGTCAGAGATCTCAACAGCTGTCTTCTGAGGACTGACAGGGGACTGGTGGCTCCTCTGGAGTGCCCGATTGACTGCTCCCATCTGCCCTGAGTCTAATCTTCTAGAGTCTCTCTGCTACCAAGTGTTTGCTATGTGACCCTAGTCACTTCCTGGCCCATTCAGCTCTTTCTGATCATAGATGGTTTTTACATCTGTATCCCACCCTACCAAGGAATGCTGTTCCCTGTCTTTATAAGTTTGTCTGCAGGTCTGGATTATAATATTACACACACAGGAAATGTGATCATAGAAGGTGACTTCCAACAAGGAAAGGGAGGCTGCCTGGACCCCTGGGTCACTCAGGGAGCACAATGAAGGGTGTAGTGTTGCTTCTCAGTATCTTTGTCAAAGTTCGCGGCTCCCAGTGTACCCAGATTCTTGGTTAGCAATTTGATTGTAGGGTAGCCATGAGAAAAAATGAGGGATTTAAGGAACTTTTTCTTTTTCATAATGAGGTATACTCTTTTTGAAATATATCATGATTTTCAATTTATTTCAAATGATAAATCTTGAGTTCTGCAAATGCTTTACTACATTAAATGGCTAGGCTAAGAACCAGGAGCAAAATCTGGTTTCTCCTGAATAAGGCTCTTAACATAGGGTGGCCAAAGCATGTAGAAACTTTATAACTAATAAAACTATTTTCATAGGAGGAGATAATGGTTAAGGGAATGGCCTTAGAATTCACTGATCTGTATTCAAACCTTGGCTTTGTGACTTTGGACAAGTTCATTTCTCTGTGTCTTATTTTCCTCACCTTTATAACAGATATAATATAGATAATATATATTACTAGACAGTATATATTAGTCTATATTACTATCGATAGTAATACCTTCCAGAATTAGTGTCAGGAATAAATGAATTATTTTATATAATGGGCTTCAAACCCTATCTAGCTCATAATATTCAACACATCAGCTACTGATTTTATTTATTATTTTTAAATAACCTATCCCAAAGAACCTGGGGTTTTAGCAATCAAAATCCCATTAATTTAAATTAATATGAATATATATGAATATACTACTACTTCCTTTCTCCTATCTATGACCTTAAGAGGATTCAAGAAAAAGTCTCATATAACTTAAACTGAAAATAACTTCTGGCTTGATGGAAATGTTGAACAATATAAAATTATTAATTGCTGTTTTCATTAAGACTCTAGTCATACAACTATTTAAAAAGTACAAACAGTCCTACTCCTCTTACCACTTTTGTTTTAGAATTTATCAGGTTACCCTAGCCAAGGCAGAGAGCAAATCAAGTCTGTTCTCAAGTATGGGAAATGGAGACAAGGTTTAATAAGGTCATATGATAAGAAAAAAATTCAAAGAGAACAAAACATCGCAATTATTAATGAAAATTTCTGTATTTTCATTTTTGACACAATATTGATATTTAAAATTTTTTCATTTTTAATTGAGGTAATATTGGGATGTCCTTATCACACTGATGAAAACTTCTAAGTGGTAATTATTAAATGAACCATGAGCATTAGGTTTACAAAAAAAGAAAATGAGGGAAAACCATGCACCTTAATAAGAACTATCTATGTCATTTTAACTTTTACTACATGGGCCAGTTTATATAAGATATAAATTATAATGATATAAACATAAAATCTGCCAGTTACTCCCATCAGTATAATCTACTGGGTCAGGTTTTTCAGAGTTTCCATTTATAACAAGTTATAATTTTAACAAGTTATAATATAAGTTCCAATTATAACAAGTTATAATTCCTGCCTGTTCTGCTTCATTTTTCTGTATTTCTCCTAATAATGAGAAATACAGAAGGTTTTATTATGGCCTGTTTATCTAAAGCATCTTAGGGTCAAAGAGAAAATTCACATTTGTTTTATCATCTTTTCGAAGGAATAGTGGATATTATAAATACTTTAAGGCAAAGTTCTTGATCATAAACATTTTTAAAAGCTAACTTTACCATGTATTTCTTGTAGAGAGGGTGTCCTGGTTTGGGGCGAGGGGGTAGCACCAGATCTTGATTTTTAAAGACTTGACTCTTGGCTTTTGAGAGTCCAGATGCCAAGCTACTTTGCTTTTTCTGAAGATCCATGTCAGAAGAAGATCGACTAAAAGGCAGTTTTTGATTTGATGTTCTGGTTGCAGGAAGTTTGGGGGGAGGCGGTCTCTCAGGAGCCCCCTTGGGAGGTGGCTGTCGAGCTGGAATGACTTTTCCATTTACAGGTCTGAAATCAATGTGGCAGCTGGGAGTCAGTGTTTGATCAACATTAAGTTCTGTTTTGTCCTTTCTTAGGACATGCACACGCGCACACACACACACAACAGCTTTTGGCTAGTATAGTATAATTTACTCAGACATGCAAGGTATGCTATTTTTGAGCAAATGACTGCTGCACTAAACATGATATGACTGGAGGAAATGCCATGGTGCTCGGCCTTCTCTTATCTTGCACTAGAGTCATTAGTTCAAGACAAACAAGCATTTACTATCATGAGCTCTCCAAGGTCCCTTTGGTTCTTAAACACACCATGACTGTTTCAGGAAACTAACCACTTTCTATGAAAGTTTGAGATGAGCAGCTTATTATAAGACATCAATGTATATATGATGGGGTCTTGAACATGATTAGAAAAGGAACATTAATATATTCATGTCACAGGAATTATTAAAACTGTAATTTAAATTTAATATAAAGAAAGCTAGTTCTGAAAATGAGACAGGACAACTATTACTTTGAAAATCTTTCCTTAATCCCTATAACAAAAGTAATTTCTAACCAATAGTGCCTTCTGATGGCATTAGTTTTCTTTTTTCAAATAGCACTGGACACAGGAGGGTAGGTCACTTCTGAGATCATGAAGCCTAGTCTCCCTTTTGCAAATGCCAGAAACCAGGCTGCTTTTCATCACCAGGAGTGTGTATGTATATGAATGTGTATGGAGATGTGTGAGCGTGTGTATTCATTCCAGAAGATTCCAGAAGAACTGTCTTAGGTTCAGAAAGAAGTCTTGTTCATTTATTTGAGGAAAAGTGATAGAGATCCATGGTTGTGCTCTGTTTTTAGATTATTGCTAAAAAAAAAAAAAAAAGTAGAGACTCCTATAGTCTGCTGTCAGAATCAGACTATAGGCTAGGGGCATGGGTGAATCTCTGACCTTAATGTATTATTAAGAGAAAAATCTAAGGCCAACAACATTCAGTTTTGATGACACAGAATGCAGTCGGAGCCATTAGGTTTTCTCTAAATTTTCTGTTAAAGACTTTTCCTGCACTCACTCACCTTGGCGGCAATCTTGGGGGTCCTCGCACAGATCCTCCTGTTTGACCAGCATGGTGGGATTCCTGCAAGTAACAGAGAACCCTTTTTAGTCAAGGTTAATCTGAAACAAGAGCTTATCAGGACGAATTTTAGAAACCTTTTTGGCTGGATCTAGAAGTTGAAATGTAGCTGAGTTATACAAAGCAGCTTAAGAGAGTTTTTAATCTTAAATAACTATTAACTCATTACTGTTCCTGCCAAAATTGTCCATTTTTGACTACAAGTGAAAACAGGGTAGACAAGGCAGTCTTCTGATGTGGCCCAAGGCCTGATCACCTGCACTTCATGGCTCTGCACTAGCAGATTCAGGAGGATTAAGGATGATGCTTACATCAGTGATAGTTTAATCAGGCACTGTAAGGAACTAAAAATTATATGGTCTTTATTTACCTCATGACACCAACGATAAGCACAGCTCCTATGTTTAAACACATAGTGAGATTGTGATTAGTTTGTTTTGCTTGCAAAAGACATCTCATTGCTGGACAGTTTATACATTGTGCAGTGGGTTTTGAACTAAAAAGAGGAAGGAAAATGAAAGCAGCTTCAGGCAGGGCCTGAATAGAAAGCATGTGAGCAGGAATAGAAAAGGCTTAAGAAAGCAGAGAGCTCAAGAAAGCAGAAAGGGACAGGGTGTACTCAGTTTTCAGAGGAGAGAGAAGGGAATGATATGAAAAATGATTCAGGTAGAGTTGTAATGCTTCAACCTAACAGCAGATGGTAGAAATCAGACATGTGGAGTCAACAGGAGGACTTTGCTAGGGGAAGGAACTCAAACTGTTTCATTTAAACAGATTTTTCAAATATGTTATAGCCCAAAAATGGGGAAATGAATATATCACTTTTGGAAAATATTTTCAGATTTTCTGTTGAATGAGAAGTTTAAATGATCCCAATGCTAGAGCTTATGCTTTTTTATTTTGGGAAAAATCCTCCCTAAATTCTTCTAATTCTGATTGAAATTTTTTTCATCTCTCCTATTTTCCTATGCTGACATCTAGGAAATACTTCTCCAAGACCTCTAAAAGGGGGAAAATGCCACCGATTTAAAATTACACTGTCTTTCTTTATAAAGTAGTTTTAATTATATCTTGGGAATCTTTGGACTAATTCAGACTGTTTTCCTCCTTTACATCATATAAATGAGTTATAACTCATTCCATGGTTTTTAATTCGAAGTGATTATTTACAACTTTCGTTAAATACCAAATGATTAATTGCGAATAACTGTGATCATTTAAATATGTTTCAATATTTTAAAATCTCATTTTTAAAAACAAATTATGCTTGCCCTTAAAACTTGGTTTCACTAATGAATTCAGTTAATGTTGTGAGGCAAGGCACCAGCTCATAAACCCAGCAATATTCCTGAATATAATCCATGCCTTATAAGTATGCTACTGCCTAAGTTTCCTCCTGACAAATAGTGCTATGATATTTGAAAACTTATTTATACTTACGGCCACCATTAAATTAAAACAAACCAACCAAAAAAACCAGCCATGTTCCAGTAGCAGGGCAAGAACTTCTTTGCTTTTCTCAAAATTATAATTGTTAGATACCTTAATAATTATGGTACATTTAAAAATATATACATGATTAAATCTGACATTAAAAGTTATACACAATATGCTGTAATAAACACATACCACATAATCCTGCTCTTGTATCAAGAATTAGTTCTAATTTTCTTTGGGTGGTGTTATTTCATGGGTAATCTTAAATATCTTTTTTTCAACTATCTATAATAAGGAAATTTTAAATCAGAAATAAAAGTCACTATATTGAAATCCCCCAGAAACGTTAGGCACCATTTGAAAACCACTGTTGTATCTGACAGATTTCAAATTCTGAGAGCAGGGGATTGGTTCCTATCAAAGTCACTGTCTCAGTGTGTGCTCAAGTCCAGCTTTGCACTTCTGCAAAGCCTTTGGAAGAGTATTAATCAGGGATTTCCTCTTCAATATTCCTCATGTAACTGGAAACTCTCTACATCTACTTTTTCTAGCTCTGAAATCCCTGAACTTGACTTTTGATGTGTCTGGATAAGCATGGTTATTCTGCTTGTATTGTCCCTGCAGATATCTTTTTATTCATTTATTTTGGAATGATTTCTTATATCCTAATTTCAAAATAATTCCCCAGTTTCCCCCTATATTTTCAAAAGACATATTTTTCCAATACCATACTCCTGTCGGAATTACTGAACATTCTCTACAGAGATTTCTTGTCTTTTTTCAGAACCTGGAATGCTTCTTCTGTCCTGAAATCAGAATCAGTCTCTGTGCTCTTTCAGCCAGCTTCTGGGCTGTAGTTTTGATGCCTATAACACACTGGACAGCATCTTCTGATTCTCTTCCTGCATTGGTGGCGCGCCACAATCATGAAAGAGCCTGTGAAACCAGGTTATAAAAGAGCCCCACACCCTTCTTCCTGCACAGATGCTATCTCTATTCTCATCCCCTGCTCTCTTGAAGGGTATTTCAACAAATCCACCTTTTCCGGGGTCTTGGGTTCCCAGAGTAAACAACAGGACACACCAGAAGCATTTGTTCCTGCTGACAGAGTGGGTCCAGTGGCCCCTGCACCATCAATCTTGTCCTGAGATGGAAGTTCCTTTGCACTCAAGGCAGGAGAAATAGTAGAGGGTTTTTTCATCAGAACACATAGTTGGCAAAGACTGTGCCTGGTCTCGTGGGTCATTACAATGATGAACTATTCTTTCTAGAGAGCCTCATCCACACTTGAAGATTTTATGGCCTAAAATTCATTCAGTAATGATAATTTTCAAGCGAAAGAACTTTCTCAAGCACAGAGTTGACTTTACAGATCTAGAATTCTGTATGTGTGACTTCAGCCTAATCATAAAGCTTGTGGTCTGTTTCTCATCTCCCCTTCCTTCAGACCCAATGAGTCAACTGTGGTATTTGTTACCAAACAGCAGAGAATGTTGTGACCTCCTCTGTGAACTGTGCAGAAATGTATTTTCCTCATCATCATCATGTGAGATACAAAGACAATTATGATTTTGTACTTTTCCCAATGGTTTATTCTAATTTCCTTTCCTTGTTTTTCTAAAGTATAGGAGTTGCTTTGCGGACTGCTTAACACCAAAATGTAATAATATTTAATATTTTAATAGAGCTTTACAAAGCTCATTATATCACTTAATGAAGGATACGTATTTCTACCCATCATCCTCTCACTCCCCTTTACAGCCTTTTAGAGTAGAAGCCAGTAATTGTCCAGGTATCATTTAACAGAGTTAAAACTTAGTCTCTGCACTTTACTCAGCTGGACAATGCTGGGAGACATAAAATAGATAAGAAAGGGAAACCAACGGAGTTGCCATGGGAACCTGCACATGGGTCCACATGACCAATAAGGGTGTATCAAAAATTCTGAGGAAGACGGAAAGAGGGCAAACAGAACAGACAGGACACCCCCTGTGCGGAAGGCCCACCGAAACCTGATGTCCCAGAAGATAGCAGCCAGCAGAGACAGACTTCCCAGTCATGAAAGAACCTGTGAAAACAGGTTATAAAAGAGCCCCAAACCCTTCTTCCTGCACCGATGCTATCTCTTATCTCATCCCCTGTTATCTGGTAGAGTATTTCAACAAATCCACCTTTTCTGTTTGCCACTCTGTCTCTGATGAATTCTTTTACCCTATGCCTCCCGCCTCACCCCAATATTAGGTCACAATAGTAACTTTCTCCGGTAACTTTTCCTCCACAGACATTTGGGGTTGGTTTTCCTATTCAACTATAATATGTTAGGGTGCTATCATTTTCTTTGGGCTTTTTAAACTGGGTTTTAATAAAAAATTATTACCAAGTACTTTGAAAATATGTGATGACTAAATTTTAATTCAGCTTGCAGGAAAAATGTCATTAAACTGATATTGGCTGGAGATATTAGCAGAGAAAATTCACTAGATGAGTAGATGGGTCAGCATGTATAGTAAGCATGTTAATATAACAATGTAAAACTATTATGAACTTGAACCAAAAATTTGGTTCAAAGACTTTAAGAACTAGTTTTTTTTTTAACAAACCTTAAAGATAATATATGAGAAATTTAAACAGTATAGGGAAATTATATTGAAATAATAAAAAAAGATGTATGCGAGTGTGTGTATACACACAAACTTTTTGGCTATGATTTATAAACAAATATAGTAAAACACTTTAAAAAAATTTTCCCCTAAATTTCAGATTAACAAAGTCTTATGGCAATTATCTTAAAATTATGTCACTAATTGGGTATTTTAAATAAAAACTGATAATTGAACTAAACCCATTTCCAAAAATACTAAAGGTTTTTATGTATTTTAATAACTTCCTCATTACTAGTGTCATTTAAAAGACAATGCCATTACACTGGTACATGGCAGATTATTTTATGATGAAATGCAATGAACTGACATAATTTGTTTTATAGGGATTTTAAAAATATTGAACATCACATTAAATAGGTATATTGGACTTCTGAAATTGGCTTGTAATAAAGATTTTTTTTATCAGTAGTAAAAAAATTTAGACATCAGCTGAGTATTCAAAATTAGCACATAGATTGGTTTTCAGCCCAAGACAAACTATAAATGACCACTTACCAAATTCCTAGTTCTGTCAACATTGAGTTTTCCAGCTACTGTATTGCAAGTGTTTCCAATAGGTTTTTCAGTAGGGAGAGGTGGTGGGCTTTGTGGATCCTCATGTAAACCTGGAAGAGTGGCAGTAATTCATCAATGATTTCTAGTATTTAAGGATTCCAGAGGTTGAAATGATTTCAGCTTGGTTCCATAGGAAAATGACTAATCATAAAAGATCCATGCAAAGAATGGAAAGCTACACAAATTAGAAAGAATTCCCACCAAATCTCAGAAAATCACTGGGCTAGCAGATATCAGTTAATTTTACTGAATGTTTTACAGAGCAAAAATAATACTAAATAATTACATCAGTAGCAAGCATTACTGAGAACCTTTTATGTGGCAGGCATTAAATTAAGGCACTTTAGTCATTTCATTTCCTCAGCTGCAACAGCCAGATTTCAAGTACTTAACAGCCACATGTGGCTGGAAACTACTATGTTGAACAGCATAGCTATGAGACATTTCCATCTTTGCAGTAAGTCCTATTCAACAGCATTTACTAGATAATCTCCTACCCTTTTTACAGAGAAGAAACTGAAGCTCAGAAGAAAATTAATGAGCTATATAAGGTCTTAATGCTATTAATTGTCAAATCCAGGATTTTGAACCCAAAAGTCTATCTGTGCTCACTATAATAAAGCACTGCTTCTTAATGGGAGGTGTACCCAGGCCTCCCATTCCAGAGTATTAAATGGGTTTTCTAATTCATTAGCTTCAGATTAATGGGCTTAACGGCCCTCAATTTAACAAACAGTATCTTTATATCCAATCTACATCGTTAACTCGATGACAATGCAACCCGACTTACTTAAAGAAAAAAAAAAAAAAAAAAAGCAAAGATGACCAGATTTAATTAGTGACAGCTAATTAAAATCTGTGCAAAAACACTTGGAGAGAGGATGATTATATGCTAAGACACACTGTTTTAGGCATTTAGAGGAGATAGGAACTCTTCCCACTCTTTCAAATGAACACACTCCTTCCATTTCACATGAAAAACCTATAACAAGATGATGATTTATCAAGTTCCTGTTTTATCCACAGACAGGAAAACACTCTCAAAAGGAGAAAAATACCCAAGCCAGCTACTAGGGAAACAATGATTTAGACACAGGCAGGCCATCTTAGTGAGGGGCAGGGTTGCCTTAGGAATTAAGACACACACAGAACACTCCAACTCAGTCACCATCATTAAGATTTTCCTCTATGTGGCACTTTTCCTTATTATTACAAGGAAATAATAAATCAGTTAGGAAATAATATTGTCATGACAAATATTTAAGGGTACGGAGTAGCAGGAATATGAAAGTTGAGGAGAGAGTTTACAGGCAGGCGGGAAGGAACATGGGGATTATCTGGTGTGAAAAGGGATTATCTCCTATTTCAGATAATGTGGAGGTTTCAAAAAGAAAAGTGTCACTAGGCAAAAAGATCTGAAGGAGTCGTGAGCGGGGGAGCCATGCAAATGTCTGGGCAAAGAACATCCCAGTCAGAAGAAACATGTGCCAGGTGGAAAGTGTTGACAGGTTCAAAGAAGAGCAATGAGTTTTATGGTGCAAAACAAAGCTGTTCCTTTCTGTCCCCATTCATTCCAAGTTCTTCAGATGCCAAAAGTTTTACAATTTTTTTTTCCTGTAGCATATATGCACTGCTTAATAATTATAATAATAAAATTCTAGAGAACTTATTTTTGATATACATGAAATAATTCTCCAGAAACATTTGGGACTTCGTATCTCTCACATCCAGCAAATAGAATTCAACTTTCTAAAGTTCCTAGAGCTTTGTTAAGATAATAAATACAAGTGCTCCCTCAATGTATCCTTCTCAGGATTTCAGGACCATGAATCCAATTTATAAGGTTGCTGAAAAGGGCAAACCTAGTAGGTCTGAAGCTAGGCCTGCTTTTACAAGGTTGGTTTTACTGGCACCAGGGAACTTGGACTTCAGGAAGGTTTCCATCATTCATCAAACAGATAAAATGAAAAAAATGTGGCTTTTGCTGAACATCTGCTTTCCTTCTAGGAATCTGGAATTTTGGTACATGCCAAAACTGCTAATGGTGCCTATGTGCCAGCCCCCAATAAAAACCCTGGGCACTGAGTTCCTTTGACAGACAACATGTATTATCAAAATTGGAAGAAGGTGGGGGAGTTAAGAACATCCTGCATGGCATTATTTATAATAGGTAAAACCTGGAAACAACCCAAATGCCCAAAAATAGATGACTGGATAAAGAAGATGTGGTATATATACGCAATGGAATACTATTCAACAATCAAAAAAGATAAACACATGCAATTCGCAGCAGCATGGACGGAGCTAGAAGAAACTATGCTCAGTGAAGTAAGTCAGAAGGAAAAAGAATAATATTGGATGGTTTCACTTACAGCAGGAATATAGGGGAATCAAACAAGACATCAGGGCAAAAAAATAAAACAGTACAAAACACAACACACCACACAACAGACAGACAATTATAAACCAGAGACATCCTGCAGGATGGAATCAGAGGGAGGGAGAAGAGGAATCAGAGGGAGGGAGGAGCACAGGGGACTGCAGTGATAATGGAGAGGAAAGCAAACATTGTTTAAAAATGAACAATGAGGTCCTTCCGGGTGGCGCAGGCAGTTGAGCACAGTGCTGTGAAGCTGTCTGCAGCCTCTGCAGTGCCGGTTCAATCCCAGCCAGCCGGCGAGGGCCCCACATGGCGCGGCAGACCTCTCCTGTCTCGCCCGCTGCTCCCCTCAGCAGCGTATTTCATCAGTCTGCCTGTTCCCTACTCTGTCTCTGGTGAATCCTCTCACCCTCCTGCACATCTGGCCTGCACCCCAGTTCGTGTATAAATAAATATATCTTGAAAAAAAAAAAAAAAACCTGGAATACATTTAGCAAGGAAATACCACCAGGCAAATAACCCAGTGAGCTGTCATTTCACGGATTTGGGGTTTATACAATTCTGTCAAAAGAAATATGCCACCAGTTCTTTATCTAGCATGTCCATATAACCTCCTAAGCAAGAACCCCCCAGAATTGGGTGACCTTGACTTTTCCCCCTCATTCTTTATAGCAACTCAGTTCAATTATCTTGCTACTTGGCTTAGAGCCACTCATTAATGACAAAACTATCCACAAGAGACAAAAACCAAGATGGCTCTTTAGGTAGTATTTTCCAGAGAAGCCCAATCCCTAAACTAAAGGGATTATCATGGCATTCCAGAGAATACCTGCAAAATAATCCTGCAGTGCCTTAAGGGAAGGACCAGGACACTAGCTCTGCTGTTTGGAAGCATGGAGCAGTTAAAATCTCCTGTTAGAGAAAGGTGTCTCCAGGCTCTGCAGAGGCACTGGATAAAATGAAATGGAAGCAGAGGCTCATGTAGAAAGCTGTGTGATCACACTGACAATACCCAGAACTGCTCTGGAGCCCACGGTACAGGCATGCACACGCATACACACACTCACACATGCTCCTGAATAATATCTGGGGTTTAAAGTAAGTAGTTCTTACAACGATACCACATTTGTTTCTGAAGTACTTATCAAAGCTCATACAAAATTTCATTGACTGTACCATTAATAAAACAACTAAGGAAATATATCAAAATGTAGTGTTACATTAGTTAAAAAAAATTGTAATATTTGGTTATTGCTCTTGATGCAATTCACACATAACTGTCTTTAGATTATGTTGATTGGATGAATGTACTCCTAATATACAAATACAACATATACAGTTGAATTACCTGCGGTCATTTATTTGCTATCAGTTTCAAATATTTTGCCATAGGTCTTACCCAGAGGCTCTAATCTAGGATACTCCAACTGCTCTGAGTTTCAGTCTCCCTTGATTCTCTCTATCTCAAGACAATGTTAGAAGGAAATAAAATCCAAATTTATTGTACTAATTGTCCAAAAAGTTGTGAAAAAACAACTTGCTTTTAAATGTCCTTGACTATGAGTAATAATACATGGCTGATTACACACAAATTCAAAAGCAGACACTGACAAATTAGCATACATTTCTCTCAGGCTTTTGGAGAAGCAAATAAAGAAGGCATAAGTGCTTACATTTTCCTGGTTTGGCTGGAATTCGAATCACAGTGGGCTTCCTGGTGGGTGCTGGTTGAACTGCTCGTTCTTTTGTTGGTTCTGTTTTTGTGGGAAGCTGAAAGGGATCTAATGAAAAACAGAGTTTATTTTGCATGTTTTAGTTAACACGGATTCAAACAAAAAACCTCATTCATAATTAAAGAGTCATATTTTTCAAGCCCCAGGGAAAACTATTCATGGATAAACAAAATCTCAGTTTGCAGAGACAAAAACAAAGTCAGAGCTCATGAAAGGGAATAGCTTGGCGCTCTGTAAATAATTCATATGGCTTTTCTTCCCTTCTGATGAGCAAGACCCAGGACAATCTTGAATTATGCAGAAGCTGTCTTTGATGGGAGTGCCATCATTTCATAAGTATCTGCTTGAAAATGAGGGGCAACTAAAACAAGGAGACAATCTTTCCTCTATTATGAAGACTCCTTGGTCCCCCTGGAAAGGACTCTTCTCTCCCACAGCCCTGAGCACTCACCCACACAACTCACCAAGGACCCTCATCCTACCCAATATGGTGGCCAGAGCACAGAGCAGGTAGCCAGAGTCATAGATTTAGAAGTTCAGTAAAACATGAAAAACATTTTATCCTGGAAATAAAATATGTCTCTTCAAATATTTAATTCTGAGGCAAGGATATATGACTTGCCAGCTTAACTGTGTCATTTAAAATGCACAGTAAAGGGCCTCCACAGGCGGCACAGCAGTTGAGCGCTGGGCTGTGAAGCTGCGCGCAGCCTCTGCAGCGCCGGTTTGATCCCCAGCTGCCGGTGAGGTGAGGGTCCCACATGGTGCGCAGACCTCCCCTGCCGTGCCCACTGCTCCCCTCAGCAGTGTATTTCATCAGTCTGCCTGCTCTGTTCCCCGCTATGGCTCTGGTGAATTCTCTCACCCTCCCGTGCTTCTGACTGTACCCAGTGCTTGTATAAATAAATAAAGAAATCTTTTTTTAAAATAAAATGCACAGTACATGCTTAGAGAAAGTATTTTAAACAAAAGCAAACCACCACTTTTATTTTTTAAAAATAGTTTTTTCCTTTAATGTAAATGCCCTTTTCAGTAGTTTAGGAAAATGTCCATAAATTTTTTGAAAGATAAGCAATCTAAAAATAGATTAGCAAACATAAAATAAAATGTTGTATAATGGATATTCAACACAGCCCACAGGATCTCATGAGGCTGCCTCTGCTTTAATTCAACAAGAGTCTGAATGCGGATATACTGTAATTCTGCACCTGTTCTACGGATCTTGCCTGTAGGGAGACTCTCCGGTAAAACAATGCATTCCATAACTCCTGTGATAAATAGCATCCATGTTCTGCCTGTTATGAGCTGCAGTTCAATAAGCACCTTTTGCTGACCAACCTCTTTCAGGATATATGAAGAGCTGAACTCTGGCTAAGAAGCCCCCTCAGCTTCCTAATCCTCCTCCTCCTTCCACCCAGCTCTCTGGCAACCGACCAAAGGCTTCCCTTGCTAACCTGCCACCAGCTCACGTGTGTGTGTCTATCATGTGCCACTAGGTGGGGAGATATGATGGTAAAGTACAATCTGACTTAAAGTTTATTACCTGCCACCTAAGAGGGACTCTCAGAGGGCATGCAAGGTAAAACAACTGTTATTAGATTACTGAGAATAAAAACCAAATGACCCCTCTCGGAAACTTGTCTATTAGCTCACAAGTGAGGTAACTCTTACTAAGTTTAAAAAAAAAAAAAAAAAAAAAAAAAAAAGGCAGCAACTCAAGATGATCAAAACAATAAGAAATTTATAAAAAAGGCTGTTGGAATAATATTACTTCCACCGTAACCCATGCCACAACAATAAAAACAAAGCTCCTTCTTGTAGGTGTAAACAAATGCTTTAATTTGTTACTTTGCTGCAGCATTATCTTTCATTTCAAAAATAATATTTATTGCAAAATGGAAAACTAAGAAATACATGATAGAAAATATCCTATAGTCTTGTCCCTCTGGTAATGACTTTTCTACAGTTTGGTGTATCTGTCTACAGATCTTTTTATTATACAGGTATTATGAAAACCAGGATTATTGTATATGCACTTCGTTATCATCTGCTCCTTCACTCCTGTTCAGGGGCCACTCCAATCAAACACCCCTACAGGTGCTGGGAATACTTCAGTGAAGAGAGCAAAGAACCTGCCGCATGGCACTTACATTCCAGCAGGGAGAGGAAGACAATAAAAATAAGTGCAAGAGACAGTGATTCATGTGGTATATTAGAAGGCGAGAAGTACACTCAGCGAGTAAGAGCGGACAAGGTGAGGGACTTCAGGTGTGGGCAAGGGAGCAGGCTGCAGCAGGAACAGGGGCTGGGGAGAAGGCCCTGATGATATTGTTTGTCTTGCCAATAACTAGATTTAATATTCTAATAGTTGTTCCAGTTTGAACAATATACATCTGGTCTTTAGGAAACAGCAGTGCCAATGGATAAAAAGGGTTAGGTCCACTTGTGTTAGAACGCAGGATTGCAAATATTATCCAAATCTGGAGTCCCTGAGTGCAGTCTTCTATTCTAAGACTAGCTAAAATGAAAGATTCTGAAATCTTGGCATCTATTCAAACACAGAAATAGTGTATCTGTACTTTGTATATTTTCCTTCTTTATCTCTCTCTCCCTGCCATTGCCCTGGCTGTCTCCTGGGTCCTTGCTGGAACCCCATGACCTCCTAGGAGTCACAGGGCTTCCTGCTGTCTAAGGCCCTGGCTGCTGCAGAGACTTGCTTGTTCTGGGACTTGAACTCTCTCCCTTACGCCCCAAAATAAAAAACCCTGGCTCTTATACCCACTTCTCTTAGGGGTCTGTCTTCTGCTGGGAAAAAAGACCAAAATTCAAGAAGAGGATTAAGGCTGATGCCTCACGTGCATATCGGCCTTAACAGCTGCTTTGGGTACCTATCACCTGTCGGTTATTAGTACAGGTTTTCACTTGATGTTTTGAGTGGGTGTGAAGGGAAAGAAAATCTTGAGCATGGAGTGGCCTCCATTGTTTCCTAAGACATTGTGTTCTTGGCTAGTATTCCACCTACTTGCTCTCTCACACATTCCAGGAGTGAAGGCATGAACAAGGAGGGCAAGGAAAGGAGAAAAGAAACCAACTATGCCCTTGAAGGGCTGCGCACACGGGGTATCCAAAATGTGCTTGCAGCTGAAGGATGGCTTCAGAGAACCCGCCCCAAATGCTGCACCTGTCGAGGGGTAGGTGTCCTCCATCATATTAGAGGGCCCAGTCACTTTTGTCAAACCTGAAGGACTTGAATTGTAGAAGATACATTATACAGAGCATTCAAAGTGTCCTTCCTACACACTTTTTCTCTGCTTTGGTTTTTATTTTCAGTATCATTAGCTGCTCTTTAATAACTGGCACTCAGGTCATGGGTAACTTATTCTACAATGCATGTCTCTGGGAATAAAAATTGTCCTTAATATGGTGAAACCAGGAAGCCTTAGTATCCCAGCACCAAGGCCTGGCAGGCAGGGGAGGGCTGGTCAACACCTGCCCCGGCTGTGCGCAGTGAGTCAGAGGATGGCCCGTGTGCCTCTCCGTTTGCATGCTGGCTGGGGCCTGAGCCAGGCCTGCAGATTAGATAGGAGGACAAACAGCATCACTTCATTGGAAGGGTGGGACAGAGGCCTGGTTTGAAGAGGCTATACAGTATGAAGTTACTTTCTATGTCTTCACATGAGAGGGACATTCCCCGCCCCCAACATAAATGTAAATGGGCAACATATAAAGAAAGAATGGCACCTCATGTTTGGGAGCCCCAGGCACTGCCAGGGGGGCATATGGAACCACTGGTACTACTAAAAGGCTACAAGTTCATGGGGCCTCCCTGGTGGCGCAGGTGGTTGAATGCAGCCTCTGCAGCGTGGATTAGATTCCTGGCCAGCCAGGAATTCCCACATGGCGTGGCAGACCTCTCCTGTCGCACCTGCTGCTCCCCTCAGTAGTGCTTTCGGTCCATCTGCCTGTTCTGCTCCCTATTCTGTCTCTGGTGAATCCTCTCACCCTCCCGCACATCTAGCCTGTACCCCGGTTCTTGTATAAATTAATCTTTAAAAAAAAATAAATAAAAAGGCTCGAAGTTCAAAACCTTTGACCTCATAGCCCCACTTCTGGAAATTTATTATTTTTTAAAGATTTATTTATTTATGCATACAAGAGCTGGGGTACAAGCCAGAGATGCAGGGGATGAGAAGATTCACCAGAGACAGAGTGGGGAATAGAACAGGCAGACTGACGTAAGTACACTGCAGTTGAGACAGCAGAGGTCTGCTGTGCCAGGTGGGTTGCTCCCTGGCCGGCCAGGGATCGAACTTGTGCTGCAGAGGCTGCGGATTGCTTCATAGTGCGGTGCTTAACCCCTTGCGTGGCCACTAGGGAGGCCCACTTCTGTAAATTTATTCTTCAGAAATAAAAGCATCAGAAGCGAAAAAGTTTAGGAGAACATTGCAACATTTTTTTTTGTAGAGTCAAAAACAAAACAAAAACACAGCAATCAAACCAAATGAAACATCGTAAACGTCTACCAACAGAGGAAATGTGGAATCAACTGGAATACGCCCATACAGGTATAAGGAAATAAGGAGTTACAGGCTGACCCACTGGTTTGAAGAGAACTTCATAAATCTCATTGTTAAACTGAAAAAGGCAGCCTACTGAGTAATGGGTATGGTATGGTAAAAATGTCTGTAAGAAGTAAATGCATGTGTGTGTAAGCTTTGGGCTGATACCTCTGAAAGCATGGAAGGCTTATACACCACATTGTACTGCTCCCCACTGTTTACATGGGGGATTAGGATGAGCTGAAGGGAGATTTTTTTCTTTCTTTTACTACTTGTGTGTTTTGTTTGACTTGTTACAGGAAATACATTACTGCCCAGTTCCCACATGAAAGACCAGCTTTACTACCATATTTCCAAAAATAGCACGTTTGTGTGTTTTAACAAAGCAGTAGCTAAAATACCATGACTACTATCTATAGCTTGCATTTTTCACCTAATAATATCTGGGAGGTTGGTCCACAGTAGGACATAATCGGTGATATGTCTCCTTTTTAATTACTGCGCAAGGCCCACTGTATGGATGTACCATAATTTATGTAAGCAGTCAATTAAAAGTTGTAGCCAACATTTTGTGGATACTCTTAATATGGGGTATAAGAATGGGCCCTTGGGGCTATAGATATTGCTCCTTGATTTGAGCATGAGTTAATGGGCTATTTTCAAGGAAGATGGAAGAGTCACATGCTAATCAGATTCTCAGAGTTCTGTGATCCTAGAAAGGGTTAAGAACTACAGTGTCACAATTTTATCACAGACTATTTGTTCTTTTGCTTTCACAGGAAAAAACACAAAGCACCATCAAAAGAATATCCTATCCAAATCTAAAGAACGTCCCCGGATTTTTCTCTACTTTTATTTGCAGTGTTTATTCTGCCCTCCAAGTCCCTCACACCAACACCTATAATTCTACACCTGCTGTCAAACAAGTAGGCCCCTTTACACCTGTATCCACATGGCCTTGACTGATTGAGAAAACACTGGTGATAATGTAGTTTTCTGCCCATTACCTGTCTCTAATAATATGCTTGTCATCATAATTAGTTTCACCATCCTTGGCTTGTTTTTCTGTCATTTTTTCCCCCTTGAGTTCTGTTACTAGCAAAAAATGGCACTAAACTATTATTCTGGTCTGTGTAATGGGGCTGACAGCAGGAAGCATACTGCTGTTTGTTTTTTTTTTTTTTGACAACTGGGTATGATTTGTAAAGGTGTGAAGAGGAATTGCTAATACTTCTCAGCTCCATTACATTAACCTGGAAGGCATTCTACCCACAAAATGGATCCAATACTAAATTGCCTGTTTTATGAGTTTTCCTGTAATAATTTTTTCTAATCTTTACAATGTTTTCACAGCTTTGGTATTTTCTGATCTCTATTTCCTGAGATTAATGTGGCAGCTTCATTTTATGAAAACTGTTTTATTAGATTTGCTTTATTTTTGAGGGAAGAGAAAGAGAAGGAAAGACAGATTTGTGAAATTCTCTCCTTTCTTCCATGCTCCTCTCCCAGTTCCTAGATAATGCCAGAATGATTAGGTAAGGTTTCAGAAAAGGATCATAATGCTTTATTTGCAGAGACAATACTATTGATGTACTAGCAAAAAGTCAGAAAGTCCCAAACCAATAAGGAAACCCTCTACATGTTCAGGACTTCACAGGAGATCCTGAAGGCCTCTAGAGGGCGTAAGTGGGAAAGCAATTCTGAGAAAATCCCTTCACAGGGATGATGGGGGGTCCAGACAGAAGCAGTGGCTCCAAGTATCAGGACACTGTGGTAATGTGGGCATAAAGGTCTAAGTGGGTCAGTAGCAGAAAGGATGGAAATGGGAGGGAGATTCAAACACGATTCAGAAAGCAAAAGTATCCAGATGGCAAGTTCAGAAGAAGTACTCAGAAGTTGCTAACGAACTGGATTTGAAGGGTAAGAAATAACAATAATGACTACTACTTAATGAGCACTTAGGATATTTCAGACAATGTAATAGGGCTTTCCTGCATAATCACATTTCATCCTCGAAGTATCTCCAAGAGGAGTATTATTATCCTGTCTTGCAGGTGAGGAACCCGAGACACTGTGGGGTTCAGTAAATAGCCCACAGTCACAGAGTCACTTGGCAATTAAGTGGTAGATCATGCCCTACCTGACTCCAAGGCCAAACAACTAGCCACTGTGTGACACAGTGGGAAGACACAAGGAGGGCCTCTAGGTCCCTTCAAGGGAAGGCTGGGTATATGAGGGTACATGAGTGAGCTGCAGAATACAGGAAGAGGAGCAGGTTTAGAAAGATGAAGTAGTCCATCCAGTATAACTCAACCTTCCTGAACAACAGTTAAAGCGCAAACAAATTACACATTTTGCTAAAAGATTACCTCGGTAATTAAATGTTGTGCAATGAAGTGGTAGAAATCAGGAAACAGAAGTCTTAGCATGAAGCATGAGGCTATGTTTACGTTGACTGTATATACTGTTGACCTTTTTTTTTTTAAGATGACTATAATTATCTGCTTGACAACACAAAACAAATCCCTGGCAATTATTAACCAAGTTGCCATCCCCGCAGACTCTAGCAGATTGACTAAGTTTGATCCTGCCTTGGAAAATCTTTTACCACCAGGGCAGTATCATTTCTTCTATTGCAAATGGAGGCCCATGACACCTTGCTAGGGTTACTGTAAGTATTTCATTAGATATGTATGTCTGGCTATGTAGCAGAGGTTGGAACACCACATGTGCTTAATATTTTAACTATTTAGACTATTTTAATAGTCTAACATTTTTCCTTTCACCCTTTATGGACAAGAGGATGCTATATAGCCAGTTACAATGCAATGTGCATGATGATAGTTATTAATGTTTGCTATCATTTAAAATATACCTGTGTTGTGCAGAATTTGGTTCTGAATCACACAGCTTATACCATTTTGATCCATGTTAACCATCTATAAGATGACAGCTAACCTTTTGAAAATACGATTATGCTTCCAGGTTCACAAATTCAACCCAAATTAAATAAAGAGCAGTAAAAAGAATCTCATCAACAACAAGTAGGGCAGCTTAGTTTGACAAATCAAAGATAAGCTTTACCATCACACCCTCCATCTGAACAGGTATGAGGAAAGAAAACACACTCTCTGCCTCTAGGGAAATTTAACTGTCCTGATTCTTGGCAGAAAACTTAGAACTGTTGCATTTTATTTACAAAACTTTGCATTCCCAAGGGAGATGTTCTGTGAAGATTATGGGGAAAAATGTTGCAGCATACAGCTGGATACACACTCCTGCACTGCTCTTGCCACAGTCCTCCCTGGGCCTGGCCCCTCTTCTGGCACAATCAGAGGGGCCAGTTCAATCTGAAGAATCTTTCTGGGCCACTGCATGACTTCCCATCCATGAGAAGTTTCCCCTGCATCTTCCTAGTGCTTCCCTACCAAAGCAAGGGCGCCAGCCTCACATCTAGTTCAGTCCCTCACCTCAGTCTGCTCATGCCCGGCTCCTGTAATAGTAATCCAGGTGTGTGTCCTCTATCACCATCTCTATCTCCCCCATTCTATATTGTCCCTCTCTTCTCTGTGTCTACCTCCTATTCAGCTCCATGTTTCTCAGTCTGTTTCTACACACACATGTATGTGTACACACGCACACAGAAAACTCAATAAACTGATATACTAGAGGGCCTTCCCTGGTGGCACAGCGGTTGAGCGCTGGGCTGCGAAGCTGCCCGCAGCCCCTGCAGCGCCGGTTCGATCCCCGGCCACCGGAGGAGAGTCCCACATGGCGCGCAGACCTCTCCTGCTGCCCGCTGCTCCCCTCAGCAGTGTACTTTGTCAGTCTGCCTGTTCTGTTCCCTGCTCTGGCTCTGGTGAATTCTCTCACCCTCCTGCGCTTCTGACTGTACCCAGTGCTTGTATAAATAAATAAATAAATCTTTACCCCCCCCCCAAAAAAAAAAATTGATATACTAGAAGTGAAAACAGCAAGATCCATTCAAGATACCCTGTGATGAATTTCAATTCCTCTCCACCTCTGACTGTGACTTACCCAGAACCGCCTCTGAACCAGCAGATTCTTTCACCAAGCTTTCAGATGGGGTGGGTAAAACATCATCATCAAAGCTGATGAGGTCAAAGTCTCCAGGAGACTTGGTTTGCAGAACTGGAACCTGGGGGTTGGCCGGGGATCCTTCTCCCAGTGACCTGAATGCTTTGGCTTGTGATGCCACTGAGAGTCGGGGAGGAACAGTGAGCGGTTTCAACAAAACTGCAGGCTGGGTGGGGTTTTCTGAGGAAACTGTTTTCTTGGGCAGCAAAGGCCGAGGAGCGGGGACTGGGGCCTTCTTCTCATCATCCGGGCTCCCAGCCGAGGGGCCTCCTCCCGCAGCCTCGTGGTTAACACTTCGTTTAAGGCCAGGATTTGGTTTCTTTGGCAGTTGAGGTTTGGTTGTTGAACTGGCCCCTGCTTCTTGCACTGAGGAATGTGGGGTAAGCCCTTCCCTGGAGGCCACCTTGTGTCTGTTTTCAGTCCAGGAGTCCCATTCTCCAGATGCTCTGTTAGCAGCTGGTTTGGGAGCCACTGAGGGTTTCCCTGAGGAAACAGGAGGCCTGGCAGGGAGTGAGCGCGGAGCAATTTCTGGTTTCTTCGGCAGCCCCGAGGTTTCTGTATTTGTCTGACCCTCAAATGCTTTGATCCGTGAAACAAGACTATTCTGGCTTGGTTCGGTGTTCATAATGTTTATTACTGCCTGACTGTCCACGCCGTTGGCGCTGTCCAGCAGAGATGGGCGCTGGCTGGGGGAGGGTGCAAGGCTGGATTTCTGGGGATTCTGCTCTTCAATGTGAGTATCTCTGGCTACTGGTCTGAGGTTGCTTTTGGATCTTGGTCTTGGCACTGGACATCTTGTAGCACTGGAATTTTCTGGACAAGGCTGTTCTTCAGAAATATCAAAGACTATTAAAGGCCCCACGTTTGTCAGAAGATCACAGGCTGAGGCGGCCGGGGAAGGCTGAAGAGGCTTGAGAGGTGCCTGTAGTGCTGATGTGACCAAAATGAAGAAGAGAAGTTGCAACATTATAATATAAAAGGAGATACACATAGATTTTAAAAACACATATGTGGAACATCAAAGTATTATGGCATCTTTAATTAGTAAAAAGTAATTCCAAAACCAATGGGGAAATATAGCCAGCTTCCCACAGGGCTGTTCTTGAAGTTGTATTTATTTAGGGAAAAGGTAGCATTATAAAATATTTTAAAATATATTCAATTCCTGATTCTCAGTTGACTTACCACAGGAACCTCTTTTCTCTTGTCAAAATCCCAACATTTCTTGTTTTACTTTTCCAAAGTAACTTTCATCTTTGTTATCCTAATACAATGCTTTTAAAAAGCCGAGCAGGAAAACTATTTTTAAGCATCCCGTCAAGGGTTGCTAAATATAACATCCTTCTCAATGGCAAGAAAGGGCATCAGCAGTAACACCAGCCATGAATTAAAAGGATGATGTTTCGTGAAACAAACTAGGGTGAACCCAAGAGATTGGGCTGTGGCTTGAGAATGATCTATTATAATAATCACAGCGTACCCAAATAAAGAAAGCATGCAGTGATCACACTGACTGGGAAGCAGCACTCAATGAATTATGCACAAATTGCAAATTATTTTAAAGGCTAGAAGCCTACTGATTACGTCCCTAGAACTAGGTCAGAATTAGGGAAGACAAATTACTTGCATTACTTTGAGGCAGATGGCTGTCTATTTCTTCTGAAAAGTCAGTCTGAGTTGCAGAAGTGATAGTGTGCCTTGGAGTGGCAGCAGCATTATTGTTATTTGTAGTATTAACTTGAACTTGGTTGATTTCTTTTATGACTTGTTCATAAGATGGTGGGAGCTACAAAGTAAGAAAAAAAAAAGATTTTAGACTTATCTGGGCAAGAGTCAGCCTGTTAACAGTCTCACTGTTATCTCTGCTGTTCATTTAAAAAATAAAATGCAAAGACATAATGTGACACTATTCACCTCAGCAGGAACAAGTTCATTGGACCTCCATGGGCTTGCTGCAGAAGATGGGGGAAATCCCAGCCCTGGGGGTGGGGCTCCTGGAAACCATGAGGTCGGCCTCAGCGGCTCAGCTGCCACAATGGTGATCTCGGGGCGTCTAATAGACAGAAGACTCAGTGAGGTTTTACAGGTTGATAGGAAACTATTATCTATCTGCAAATGTTCAAAGAGCCAAGAAAATAAATCACCACCCCAAAAAATTACACAAGAACTGCCACAGTCACAGTATCAACCTGTCTGGATGGGCTCTCTCTAGCAACATACCCAGGCAGGCTACGTGGGAGCAAGCAACAGCCATCCTTAATGACTGGCCTCAATAAGATCATAGATTAGAGATATAGCCTGAGCATACTTAACTCTATCTAACTTGTATGAAAGGAGTAAGGACTAAGTAAACCCATACAACTAATCTCTTCATTTCAGGACTCCGCTCTCTAGTTTCAAGGACAAACAAATATATCTGATGGTTACATGGTGAGACAGTGAAGTCAGGATTTGACTTTAATTATGTGTGACTTGAAAGTCAATGTTGTTCATTACTTTACACTATACTGCAAGAAATCTGACAGCAGGAACCATGTCTTATAAAAACCCATCCATTTATCCATCTGTCTACCTGTCGATCAATCTATCTGTTGGTCCTTCTTCCAGTGAGTCCTTTCACTCCTCTTTCTTAACAGACATTACCCAGTCTGCCTGCCTGTTTTCCTTTCTTTATGCCCTCATTTCATTTTCTATCTTGTCTTCTATCCCTTTATCTCTGCAACATTAACTAAGTAGCTAGGAAGTACAAAGCATTTCTTTAAAGCAGTTCTAACAACGCTTTACAAACAGTAATTGCTTAATTAACATTTTTTAATTGATTTAAGAGTTATTACTATCAAAACAACCTTTAAGGCTTGTACTGCTTCACCTCTCAAGAAAAATGTTCCTCATTCAAACTTAAAGATTAATTCAGGAAATATAGTACATATATTACATCTACAATAGCATACTATATATTATGTATATAATATATATAATTATAAAGAGAAATATTTAACCTGCTGGTGGCATGTTTTTATTTCATTAACAGCACAGTTATACCCTATTACAAACATAATCATACCTCCTATCTCGATGAAGCTCACTCTGAATAGAAGGTCGAGAAGCTGTAGAAGAAAGAATAAACTGATATAGACAAAGTAGTATATTCAATAAAGGGCTAAATTTTTACTGGGCATACTGTGGGAAAAAGTTAGCTTACACTTGGCATCATATAGAATGCATGGATTTTAACATTATCAGTAGAAAAGTAAATGAAAATGATCTCTTTATATGGTGTAAATTATTGTCATGTATTTGATTTACATTAAGAAAATATAGATTTAAAAAACTCCCCAAAGCATATTCTGTGGCTTTGAAAATAATCTGAAGAATGAACAGAAAAGACAGCAATGAATAGAAATTGCATGGTAAGAGCATTATGATGATGACATGAAGTAACAACGGACAGAAAATTTTTTTTAAGCATCTATTCTAACCCATATAACTATACTTTTGTAACATTTGTATGTAACTCTACTATAAACAGAGTGGAAATGGTCAATTTTCATCTATTTTCTAACTTTCCTGAAGTTTTACCACCTTTATATTGTCTTATTACTTAAATTGATAAATAATAATAAATACAAGAAATGTTCAAATCACTTTTATAAACATATTTCTGGCACATATTATTTATATGAAGCACTCACCTATCCCTTGAATCTCAAACTCAGAAACTTAAATTTTTTCCACATTTTATTTAAAATTAAGTCTTAATCAGACGATATGAAAAAACATGGTCACACATGGGGTCAAATATTGCATATATGTGTAACAGAGAACATATTCCTATTTTTAAGGAGCATATCCTAAGAATACCTGTTTCCAAAAAAAAAAAAAAAAAAAAAAATCTTCAACTACCCTACTGTCAAGATTTGTGCACAGAGGGCAAATTGTTTCAGGTATCAATTATTTCTCCTAGTTGCCTTCAGATCTCTCTAACACAGCACTCCACTTCCAGTTCAGTGATTTGAAAGGTTCAAGGCATGATCTTCTCCTTCTTCCTTCTATTAACTCCTGGTTCTCTCTGAACAAGGAGATCTCTGCGCTGGGGAGGCAGAGATGGAGGTGGGAGAGGGATGAAATTTAGGTTGGAATTGGAGCTGTGACAGCTGAACCGACCCTGGGTTGGCAAAGCAACCCAGTATTTTATATTCATTATGATCAATTGGTCTGATCGACTGTTGCATTTTTATCGAGCTAAACCAAGCTGAGGTGCATTTTGTCAATTGAAATAAAGGAGAAGAGACAGGCTAGTAGAGCTTTGCATGGCGTGTCTGATTGGTAAGAATGGGTTCATCACGTCAGGGGCTCACTGATAAGCCACAACCACATCACCACCACCATGAAAGGCCCGATCAGCAGACACAGCACTTTTAAAAAACATCATGTTACTTATTGTCATGAACATACCTCTTCCACGGGGCATTTTGCTGTGCACTATTCATGAGTGCTAAGGGAAAAAAAGAAGGGGTTATGGAGAAGAAAGGGAGATGAAAGAATGAACCCAGTGTCTATGCTCTAGAGGGAACTAGGAAGCCAGACTGTCTTGCCATGCCGTTGTTTTCCCCACTCTGCACACTTCAACAGAAAAGCCGAGGAACCCTAGTTTCACGGTAAAGAAGTACATCACTGCAAAGATATAACTGTACAGACCAGAACATCCACACATAAAATGGTAAAAAACAGTAACAAAAAACCTACCTATCCTTATTAACAACGGTGCAAAAAAACCTAAAAAACATTTTTGCAAAATCAACATGCTTCTTCAATAGGGATCAATTTTAAAGCATGAATAATAATTAATAGGTAATTCGATAGTTTACAATCACTTGCTGCTGATGCTTCATGGAGGTAGTCAGGAACAGCACTCCTGCAGTGGAGTGGTATTCCCACTCTGGATACTGCAGAATGAGTGGAAAAAAGGGTAGAAGTGTGGGATCCCCGGCTCCCCTTGTTCTTGGGGCTATTGTCTTGGTGCCCAGAGTTCCTGCTGGTCAAGCTAAAAGTCCTGTTATGAGGAACATACTGGGAAACCAGTATCTGCTGAAAACAGCTCACAGACACTATGGCCAGATTAGCAAGATCGGCTAGAATTCCTTTCTTGTAAAGAGCAGCAGAAAGTTAGATTAAGAATAGGGACTAGAGAGAGTATGCCTTGATTAGCAGAAACTATGGAGCCCCCAAGCAATAGCCCTTGGTCACTCCACCCTTGCTGTACCAGACGATGACGCATCCTCATGTGTGTACATTCCTCCACATACCTGCCCATCTTCTCTGAACCTGGTTCTAAATAAATACGAGACTGCCCATAGGTCAGGCCTGCACTTTTTCAGGTGTAAGCTCCTCTAGGCCTCTCTCACTTGGACTTTTGAGTCTTCTTTCTCTCATCCTGCACCACTTCCAACACTGCTGCCCCTTGAGGCAACAAAAAAAGGTCTCCCAATAATACTTCCCGATCTCCTCCACAGCTTTTGAGGATCACTACTTTCCTTTCTCCTGTTCTGATTCTCCCCCCACCCCCACCCCCAGTCACTCATCTATGAAATCTCTTTCCTCTCTCGATCCTTTATAGAATGATTAGCACTTTTTTGTCAGTGTTGAACAGTGTAGTAGCTAGAAACACTTTATCTATACATGGCGGGTATTCATGTAGTGTCTCGCACTCTTCCTGCTAAATTCTCAACTATTCGCTTATAAATCTCATTCTCACTTTCCCAGATTTGATGTGGTTGTTGCCAGGAGAATCAAATTTGCCAGCAATGCCTATTCAGACCAACATGTTCCATTTAACCTCTGCTACAGCTGCCAGTCTCTCATGCATTTTGGATTAAGACCACAGAATAAAGGCAGTATTTTCAATTAAAGTTTTATCATTTTACAGAATTATTTTAAAACTTTTCTTGTTCATACAGTTAAATTCTGCATACAAAATGAATGCATATTCTATTGTTTACCGAAGGGCTGAGATGTGGATTCGCAATGCTAGCACTAACAAAGAACCCTTTTAAATTCCACCAGGACCATAAGCCTGGAAGGACCCTCAGTAGTCATCCTACTTCAAACTTACAAAAGAGGAGACTAATAAACAGAGGAGTCAAGTGAACTCTCCCAGGTCACACAGCCCATTAGAGGAAGGGGAAAACTGGGGACAACTTGTGCAGTTTAACTTTTATGGAGTCAGGAGAACTAGACAACAGTCTTGATTCTGAATAATCTAAAATTATTGATTAAGTGCTCATAAAAGGGTGATTATATTACAGCCATCCTTGCCTAAGTACTATCTTATCAGCACAAATCACAATAAAAAATAACAGTCACTACATTTGCTTGGGACAGGATAGGAGCTAGATGCATTTGACACGATACCAAGAACATCCGTGGAAAGGAAACCTCAACAACCTTGGAGACAGGAAGTTTAGCTTGGAATCTTAGCTAGACTGTGAAGTCATTTGACCTCTCTGAGACTTAAGTCCCTATCACCTGTTCAACGACCTTAACACCAACCACACAGACTGTTATTTTACATGTATATGAACAGCCCTGACTTACAATAGGTACTGTTAGCTAAATCTGAAATTCAGAGAATAATTTTTTCTTAAAATGTTAATGAAGGGAATTAAAGAGCTTCTGCACAGCAAAAGAGACAATAACAAAAACAAAGAGAAACCCCACCGACTGGGAGAACATTTTTGCACATAACACTAATGATAAAGGACTGATCATAAAAATCTGCAAAGAGCTGATGAGACTCACAACAACAAAGAAAATAATCCTGTCAAAAAATGGGCAGAAGAGCTAAAAAGAAAACTTCTCTGAAGAGGATATGCAAATGGCCAACAGGCATATGAAAAAATGTTCACCATCACTTGTCATCAGGGAAATGCAAATCAAAACTACCATGAGATACCATCTTACACCAGTGAGAATGGCACATATTAAAAAAACTAGCAACAACAAATGTTGGCGAGGATGTGGAGAAAAAGGAACTCTTCTGCATCGTTGGTGGGAGTGCAAACTGGTCCAACCACTATGGAGAGCTGTGTGGAGATTTCTTGACCTACTAAACATAGAGCTTCCATAGGATCCAGCAATTCCACTCCTAGGTATTTACCCAAAGGACACAGAAACATCAATTCCAAAGAACACCTGCACCCCTATGTTTATAGCAGCACTGTTTACAATAGCTAAGCTTTGGAAACAACCCAAATGCCCAAAAATAGATGACTGGATCAAGAAGATGTGGTACATACATACCATGGAATATTACTCAGCATTCAAAAAAGATAAACACATGCAATTTGCAGCAACATGGATGGCGCTGGAAGGGATCATGCTCAGCGAAATAAGCCAGAAAGAAAAAGAAAAATACCGGATGGTCTTACTCATAGCAGGAATCTAGAAAACCTAAATAAGGGACCAGGAAAAAGAATAACTATAAGAAAGTAAAAATCAAAATCAACAAACAACTATGAACCAGAGACACTCTATGGGGGGTCGGGTGCGGGGAGGGAAGGGATTGGGGCCAAAATAAGGGGATTGCAATTGTATGGGGAATATAAAAATAAAATTTATTTAAAAAAATGTTAATGCAGGGAAAAGCATGACATTTCAGAAATATCCAGTTACAGTACTTTTAAAATCTTTGTCAAAAATACTTGAGCTCTGAAGAATGAATGCAAAAAGAAAGTTCTCGGAGCTTGACTGGAACCAGAATCATTATGAAAGAATTAAAAAAACAACCAGTTAAGGGATACTGCTTTAAATTTTTGATAAGGTCATTCTTCTTACTGGAGTTAGAAAGGAAAGCTAACATTTCAGTGGTTTAAGAACAAAAATTGTTATAATATTTTCTTGTAGAATGGGAAAAGAGAAGAGATGACAATTATTCTTCTTTCTGTATTTCAGGTATCATCTGAGAATGTCTGGCCTTCTTGCCTGAACATCAGGAATAAACACAGTTAACACAGACTTCCTTACTATACACAAAATGACTGACACATAAGAATACAAAGACAACTGGGTTAGTTAAAAACATTAAACTGACCCTGTTCGCCAGTTTTATTCTCTCATGCTCCAGCCTCATCTCTCCACTGCCTACAAATGTCTCCAGGCCTCTTCACCTTACACAGTCTGTGAAGATTTTCTAATCTTCTCCCTGCTTGATCTTTCTCCCTTCTCAAGCTGCAGCCTGTCTTTCTCCTGTTCATCACCAAATTTCATCAAAGAGCAGCCCACCTCAGCTGACTAAACTTCCACAGTCCATTCATTGTTCAAGCTGAAGTGTGGCTTCCAACTTCTATGTCCTACTGATACTATTCTCTCAAAGGTCACCACTGACCTCCTACACTGGTGGCCTTTTGTTCAACCTGAAGTCAGCATTAAGAGCTACCTGTGATTCACTCATTCTTTTCAAAAGCCTCTTTCCCCTCAACCTCCAACACATGGCTGTCTCCTGATCTTTCTATTATTCTGGTCATTATTTTTTAGCCTTTTTTTTTTTGCCCAGTCCTCTTTAGATGTCTTCTCCTTAATCCTTTATGGGCACAGGGTAAGCAATATGCATCCTGATAGATTTATCAGAAACCAGGAGCAGATTATGATCTCCAACAAAGAGGCACTAAAATCCCAGAAAAAGGAAAGGGAAGAAGTCGGCGAAGGCAGGCAGGATCCAGCAGACAGGACTCCGTGAAAGGAGGCTGACTCCTCAGGAAGGCTGGGTTTTTTGGGTCATGCATCTTCTGTCCTCTGGCACCTTAAAGGCGTGGCTTGGCTTCAAGGCATTGAGGTTTCCAAATATTCTGTCTTTGTCATCTCCTGTATCCTGTACTCTTTCTTCCTAAGCGTTGAGCTACTTCAAGGTTCCACCTGCATCTTTGATCACTCCAAACTATACCTCCAACAAGAAATTATCTAACTGCCTATTTAAATTCTCTCCTGCCCTTTCTTACTACCCATTCCCCCAACATTCTAAGGCATGTAAAACTATGATGAATTTTTCATTTTCATATCTGAATTCCCTTTAACATAAACTGTGGCATTCCTACATCTCAGTAATCCACCACCACTAACAAAATGAAGTGCAGAAATGGGAAATATCTTTCTGTATTTGCCAACTTAGAAATTTTTTCACTGCAATGGTTCAAATGCATGCTTTTCACAAGTCATGGTTATCCTAAATTCATGGCAAATTATTACAAATTAACTTTCTAAATATAGGATGTGTTCTTCTCAGGGTGATGACCTCAGCTCAGATAACACAAAGAATATTTGAAAATCATTTATCTTTTTTTCAAATAACAGGCAATTCAAGTTCTGTTCAGAAAAGGAAACTTTGAAGAGCCCTTTATTTAAAAAGAATGTTAAAATCCTGCACCACGAGCATGTATAAAGCTTAGTCAGAAAGTATGACTGCACCACTCTGGAGAGGATTCCATCATGGCACTAGAACCTTGGATGTGAAAGGAAGAGTGAGCCGATCTCTATAGGCACCTAGATAGTTAAATAAAAAAAATGCCATGGAAGCAAATGAACAGAAAAGAACAGGTTTTGCTATTTTTTAGACCCATCAGATGTCTCTACCTACAGAAAATGGTTACATGAAGTTTGTATTAGATCATAACAACTGACTATATAATCCAGATTTGTTTTATAACAACTTAGTTCTGTAAGAAAAATTACAGTTCTGAGGAACTGGCTTGTCAATAAATGAAATTTGAAAGGAAAGGTGAAAAACTAAATGCTTGTCTGAAATGGTTTATCACTCCTAAAGAGAAGAGCCCCTTACTGAATTCTTAGTAAGATTCATTAACTACAATTACTTGCTGGAAATCTAAATCATCATTTAAAATTATTACAGAAGAAAATACAGAGCAGAAAAAAACAAACTTACATCTCTTGATCACCGCTCTAATCGATGACAAGGGTCCTTGGCTAGAAAAAGAAAGAAAACGTATTACACATTCGTTCATCCTTTGTATAAGTCATTCATAATGTCAGGTCATATTCGGGACTCAATATGGTACCAAGCATCAATTCTAGTAGATTAGTTACTAGTTTAATCTCTTTACAAAAGACAAATTAAAAAAAAAAAGTGACTGATATACAAGATGTTTATAATAGCCAAGTTATGTTTATAATAGCCAAGTTATAAATAGTGCTGCAAAGTACAGAAAAGTGCACATTCTGCTTCAACTTAGTGTTTTTGCATCCTTTGGGTAGATACTGAGGAACGGAACTGCTGCACTACATGGTTGATTTATTTTTAGTATTTTGAGAAACCTCCATACTATTTTCCTAGGGGCTGAACCTGTCTACATTCCTACCAACAGAGTATGAAGTTTGTTTTTCTCTACACCTTCACCAAACACTTATTTCTGGTCTTTTTGGTATGGCCATTCTATAGGTGTGAGATGGTATCTCACTGTGGTTTTGATTTGTGATTCCCTGATAAGTGATGATGAGCATTTTCCATGTTCCTGCTGGCCATCTGTATGCCATCTTTGGTGAAGTATGTCTACTGGCTCTTCTGATGACGCTGAAAGTGTGGAGCTGCCAATGCCAGTTGAGTTGCCCTATAGTTATCATAAACCTACCTAATAAATTCAAATAACCAACCATTTGTATTTCATTTGCAATTATTATTCACCACTTCAACCATTCTGCATTTCACAATGCACACTTCTCATATACCTAATCTCCTACAAAGCTAAAGCAGTAACAAAGCAAAGAGAACAAAACAGACTGACAAGCTTTTGTGAGCACTCTATTATCCCGATTGAAAACAGAGATCTCTGTTCCTTTAGGTCTTCCTTCCCACGATGTTTTTTCACAAAATGGGCATGGCTATCAGTAGCTCTGCAGATTTAGTTTCCTATTTCTTTAGCTCAATTATAAAAGAAACCCAACAAAAGTTTTCAAAGACTGGGAAGAGACTTTCAACTCTATTATTAATAACTACAGTACAGTTAAAATTAGACTATGTTGCCCTGTCCTTCCCAATTCTTTGTTTTTTCTTTTTTCCTGCATCTGCATGTCTTGATTCCCTAATTAGACTGCAAATTTCTGAGGAGAAATGGGTTTCTAGTCATTTTTATAGAGCAACGCAGTAGAACTGTGTCATATACTCACTGAACTAATATGAACTCAATTATACTGACACAGAGAAAGAAATATAATTTGAATAGTACAGGTGATTCCACCTACAATCTACTTAATAAGCAAATCCCCAGGAATAATTTTGCTGCCAGTTCTGTTTTTCTGGTCTCAGTTCCCAGTTACATCGTGTATGTGTGTCTTGCCAAAAGTCTCTGGGTCTAATGTTTAAAAATAGGTATTTCTCACACAAAATGTCACCTTGATGAGCATCTGGTGCTCAATGACAAACAGTACTGTCTTCTAATGGAACCTGCCTGGTTTGTCTTATTAAGAGATGGTACATTAGACTCCAGGGTGGCGCCTAATTTGGCAGTAAATACTGTATTTTAAGCACCAATTAATGGATTTACAGGGATAAATATGCATATTGAAAACTTTTCATTGCACACTATCTTTAGAAATTTTTTTATGTAAGTTACTCCTCTGGTAATTCCAAGAAGAAACAATACAAACTCTTCACTGGTGGCTGCTAAATTTCAATCCATGAATAATCCATGAAAATATACAATGATGTTAATAAGGTATAATGTTGTATGATGTAGAACAAGTACAACTTAGTCTGAGAAAAGATATGGGGCACCTGAGAAAGGTGGCATTTACATAGAAGAACAGCATCTTTAACCTCTTCAAATGTGAACATGAAAAGGTTGAGAACTATGGGTCTAATGTTAAACTGTGTTCAATAAACACCTACTGAATCAATCAAGGAATTAATCAGAATAAGTCATACCTCCACAGTCAACCTAAAATGACTGATGAAGAGTTTATACAGAAAACCTAGAAAGACTAAAAGGGGTAAGATCCAACCCTCTCTTTTCTGGACACAGCGCCATGTACAATAGGATTAAATTTTGTGATTAGAAGTTTTTTGTTGGCAAAAGGCTTAAAAAAGCATAATTCTAAAGGGGTGTCCATTATAGGCAATAAAAAAGAACGGAATAATAAAATTAGATATGTGTATCGAAGCTTTAGCATGAAACATCTCAATATCTAGACTACTTTTTCAATATTTTTATTAGTTGATTTCCATATTTTTGACCAAAAAACAAGTGTGCACTTAACTGTTTAAAGTCAATTTTAATTTTCAATCAAGAAAATGTAATGCTTACTCTTTTCCAGGCATTATGCCAGGTACCAAGAAACAGGGTCGACAGGGGCACGGTTCCTGTCTGCAAGGGATTCATTGAGTAGTGAGCAGCTACAGACATGAGAACAGCTTACAATTTGCAGTTCTGGTTTCTTAAATTCAGTACTTTCACATATTTTTTACCTTGCATGGAAGTATTTTGGTGTGTCATTTCTTCTGCTAAGCTATTAACTCCCTCAGGCAATGTACATATTGCAATGACATTGCCTACAAACCTTAAATTAAAAAAATAATTATGATAATTTTTAAAGTCCTCTTGGCACATTCAGATTGCAGGTCATAAAATACTTTAGTTCACATGTGAAGAACAAGTCTGTTAAAAACAACTGACTCATCCAATCACACCCTATTTAACAATGACTTTTAAAGAATGTAAAGAGAAGTTCTTAGAAAAATAAAAAGAAGGAAATAAAACCCAAACCCTCCCCAAAACCTGTTGTCCTGGTTTCAAAACCTGTATGCAGAAGAGCTTCCACCACAAAGGAAACACGTCCTTTTGGGGACTTCTTTATGGACAGAGAAAACCTGGTATAAACTCCAGTGACAGACATGAGACTGAAGGGACACATCTAGTCAAGGGAAATTAGGATGCAGGAACCGGCTGAAAATCCAGTCAGCTGGTCATAATCCAGGAGAAACTAAAGGCAGGCATTTTCTACAACGCAGTCCAAATAGAGAATCATAATATCTATATAAGAAGCAGCAAATACCAGGTAAAAGCCCCAAGTTCAAGGTTAAAAAACAACCAAACTGTAGAAGAAAAGAGAAAGAAAGTTTCTCATAACATACCTTTTTTCCCATGTATCTGGACAAATCTACTTTACATGATGTCAGTTTGTATTTTACTGAACATATATAAATATTCTAGTATGCTGACTCTCACTAGCACATATAATTTGTTTCTCTTTTCTCTTGATTATATTATACAAAAGAATAGAAAATGGCAGGATGGAGAGAGAATAGTAACATACACGACCTCCTACATGTGCTACTGGAAACCCAGAGGTATACTTGGAAACACTGATGCCAGATCACAGAACTCGTAATTTTAATTGATGGCTCTTAATTCTAACATTTCTGCCCCTAGCCTTTAGTTATCTTTTTATTCCTTTGTGCACGAACAAATCTAATGTTCTAAAAATAACTGAGGTTAATTTTATTTCTTTGGAGATGCTGACAATCAAAGGAACATTAGTGTAGAAAAGTCCCTGACAGTATCTGGTTAATAGATTCGAATTTTAAGTCACACAAAAGACACAGGAAGAATGGGTGGGAAGGATAGATGGAGGGAAAGAGGCATGAAGACTCCCTACACAAGCTGGTAAGTCTATCAGGAAAAAAATAGGGGAATTGTTTAGTGGAGGTACAATTAGCGAAAACCAATAGTGTTGGTGTTTTGACATCATTCTTAACTCATTATGAATCAATTCATTATTGAAATCTAGAACACATAATAATGTAACATAGGTGCCTGGTGAATCCTGATGATGTGGCAATCAAAATCAGAACCAAGACTCAAAAGTTCGAGAAGCAGCTGATACTTGAAGCTGGACTAGCAACAAAATGTTACCAAAAGTGGGGGGCACATTTGGGAGGATGCCTTAACCTAAGTGTGTGGTAGTTTTCAAATGAGACCAAATTCATCGATTAACCAGTTTAATATTCTCTTGCAAAGAAATCAAACCTTACTATTAACATGCAAAAAATATCAGTGGGTTTAGTAGAAGGCAGCAGGGAAAGAAGAAAGTGAGGAACATGATTTCAAGTTTCTCCATTCTTTATGAGATTAAAATTAAAATGTCATGAGGAATGATGAGTGTCTCTCATTTTTCACTGGAAAAACAAATACATAATTAAGCATATGAGACTGATAAAAATGTAAATGAAATGATGCTTTCATCATCATTCATTAGTGTTTGTTTCCTTCAGTTAAAAACCCAGAAATGGAACTTCTGGATTATACGGTAGAACCTAGTCTTAACTTTCTGAGGCAGGTCCATGCTATTTTCCATAGCAGCTGCACCACTTTACATTCCCACCAACAGGGCACAAGGGTTTCCTTTTCTTCCTGTCCATGACAACACTTGTTATTTCTTGTCTTTGGGAACAGCCATCCTAATGGATAAGAGGTGATAGCTGACGTGGTTTGGGCTGCGTTTCCCTGACCACTAGTGATGCTGAGCGCCTTTCAGGTGCCCACTGGCCATCTCTCTATCCTCTTGGGAAAAGTGTCAATGTTGAGTCCCTGCCTACTTTTTTTTTTTTAAGATTTATTTATTTATGCATACAAGAACTTGGGTACAGGCCAGAGATGCCGGGGGTGAGAGGACTCACCAGAGACAGAATGGGGAACAGAACAGGCAGACTGACTGAAATACACTGCTGAGGGGAGCAGCAGGCGAGACAGGAGAGGTCTGCTGCGTCATGTGGGTTGCTCCCTGGCAGGCCAGGGATCGAACTCGTGCTGTAGAGGCAGCGGATTGCTTCATAGTGCAGTGCTTAACCCCGTGTGCCACCAGGAAGGTCCCCTGCCTACTTTTTAATTGCACTGCTTATTATTTTGCTATTGAGTTGTATGAGTTCTTTATATTTCTGGGTATTAGCCCTTTATCAAACAGATGATTTGCAA